GGAAGCAAAACGCTCCGGCAACTGAGGAAGCAACAACGGGTGAACTTATCAAGGAAATAACGACAGTTGGACCTACTGAGAAAGAAACAACGGCTACAACAACTGAGGAAGCAACAACAGCTGCACCTACCAAGGAAAGAAAAACAACTGTGCCAGCTGAGGGAACAACAACAATAGGTGTAACTGAGAAGGTAACAACGGCTGAACGTGTTGCGGAGACAACTGAAGCTGCACCAACTGAGAAACAAACAACGACTGCACCAACCATGGCAGAAACAACAGCTGCACCAACCGATGAAATACCAACGGCTGCATCAACCGAGGAAAAAACAACAGCTGCACTAACCGAGGAAGAAACAACACCTGCACCAACTGAAGAACTAACAACACCCGCACCTTCTCAAAAAGTAACAACGGCCGTATCAACTGAGGAAATAACAAAAACCGCAACAACCGAGAAACTAACAACAGCTGCACCAACTGAAAAACAAACAACATTAGAACCAACTGAAGACCAAACGACGGCTTCACCAACTGAAAAAGAAACAACGGCGGCACTAACACAAGAAATGACAACAGCTGCACCAAGTGAGGAGGAAACAACAGCCGCACCAACTGAAGACCAAACAACAGCTTCACCAACTGAAAAAGAAACAACGGCGGAACCAACTGAAGAAGGTACAACGGCGGTACCGACTGGGGAGGAAACAACAGTTGCACCAACTGAGGAACAAACAACGCTAGCACCAACTGAAGAAGGTACAACGGCGGGACCAACAAAAGAAGGTACAACGGCTACACCAACTAAGGAGGAAATAAAAGCTGTACCAACTAAAGAACAAACAACGGCTTCACCATCTGCAAAAGAAACAACAGCAGCACCAACTGAGGAACAAACAACACTTGCACCAACAGAAAAAGAAACAACAACAACACCAACTAGGGAACAAACAACAGCTGTACCAACTGAGGGAGAAACAACAGTTGCACCGACTGAAAGACAAACAACGGCGGCAGCAACTGAAGATATAACAACAGTTGCCCCAACTGAGAAACAAACAACAGCTACACCAACTGAAGACCAAACAACAGTCTCACCAACTGAAAAAGAAACAACAGTGGCACTAACTGAAAAAGAAACGGTGGAACCAACTGAAGAAATGACAACAGTTGCACCAACTGAGGAAGAAACAACAGTTGCGCCAACTGAAAAACAAACAACGGCGACACCAACTAAAGAAATAACAACAGTCGCACCAACTGAGGAAGAAACAACAGCTTCAACAACTGAAAAAGAAACAACGGCGGAACCAACTGAAGAAATTACAACAGTTGCACCAAGTGAGGAACAAACAACGCCTGCACCAACTGAAGAAGGAACAACGGCGGCATCAACTGAGGAAGAAACAACAGCTGCACCAACTGAAGACCAAACTACTGCTTCACCAACTGAAAGAGAAACAACGGCGGCACCAACTAAGGAACAAACAACACTTGCACCAACTGACGAAAAAACAACTGCAGCACCAACTAAGGAAGAAACAACAGTTTCACCGACTGAAAAACAAACAACGGCGGCAACAATTGAGGAAGTAACAACAGCTGCAACAACTGAAGACCAAACAACAGCTTCACCAACTGATAAAGAATCAACAGCGGCACCAACTGAGGAAGAAACAACAGTCTCACCAACTGAAAAACAAACAACAAAGGCAGAAACAGAAGAAAAAACAACCGTTGCACCAACTGAGGAAGAAACAACAGCTGTGCCAACCGAGGACCAAACAACAGCTTTACCAACTGAGCAAACGACAGCTGCACCAAATAAGGAAGATACATCGGCTGCACCAACAGAGGAGGAAACCACGGCTGCACCAACTGAGAAGGAAACACCAATTGCACCAACTGAGAAGCAAACGACAGCTGCACCAGCTGAGGAAGATACAACGGCCGCACCAATTGAGGAGGAAACAACAGTTTCACCGACTGAAAAACAAACAACGGCGGCAGCAATTGAGGAAGTAACAACAGCTGCAACAACTGAAGACCAAACAACAGCTTCACCAACTGATAAAGAATCAACAGCGGCACCAACTGAGGAAGAAACAACAGTCTCACCAACTGAAAAACAAACAACAAAGTCAGAAACAGAAGAAAAAACAACCGTTGCTCCAACTGAGGAAGAAACAACAGCTGCACCAACCGAGGACCAAACAACAGCTTTACCAACTGAGCAAACGACAGCTGCACCAACTAAGGAAGATACATCAGCTGCACCAACAGAGGAGGAAACCACGGCTGCACCAACTGAGAAGGAAACACCAATTGCACCAACTGAGGAGCAAACGACAGCTGCACCAACTGAGGAAGATACAACGGCCGCACCAATTGAGGAGGAAACAACAGTTGCACCAAGTGAAGTACAAACAACAGCTGCACCAACAGAGGAGGAAACAACGGCTGCACCTACTGAAGACCAAACAACAGCTTCACCGGCTGAAAAAGAAACAACGACGGCACCAACTAAGGAAGAAACAACAGCTGCACCGACTAAGGAAGAAACCACGGCTGCAGCAACTGAGGAAGAAACGACAGCTACACCGACTGAGGAAGATACAACGGCTGCACCAACTGAGGAGGAAACAACAGTTGCACCAAGTGAGGAACAAACAACAGCTGCACCAACAGAAGAGGAAACAACGGCTGCACCAACTGAAGACCAAACAACAGCTTCACCGGCTGAAAAAGAAACAACAACGGCACCAACTAAAGAGGAAACAACAGCTTCACCGACTGAGGAAGATACAACGGCTGCACCAACTGAGGAGGAAACAACAGTTGCACCAAGTGAGGAACAGACAACAGCTGCACCAACAGAGGAGGAAACAACGGCTGCACCAACTGAAGACCAAACAACAGCTTCACCGACTGAAAAAGAAACAACGACGGCACCAACTAAGGAGGAAACAACAGCTGCACCGACTAAGGAAGAAACCACGGCTGCAGCAACTGAGGAAGAAACGACGGCTGCACCAACTGAGGAACAAACAACACCTGTAGTAACAGAGGAAGAAACAACGGCTGCACCAACTGAAGACCAAACAACAGCCTCACCAACTAAAAAAGAAACAACGACGGCACCAACTAAGGAGGAAACAACAGCTGCACCAACTAAGGAACAAACCACGGCTGCAGCAACTGAGGAAGAAACGACAGCTACACCAACTGCGGAAGAAACAACGGCTGCACCAACTAAGGAAGAAACAATAGCTACACCAACTGAGGAAAAAACAACAGCTTCACCAACCACTGTCAGTACCACAAAAAGTGTTACTTCGCCAAAGCCAACTGTGGATATCACAGACAGTCATGGAGCTGAGAATGGAAATGGTATTGAGAATGGTAATGGCACAGCTGTAATCGGCAGAGGTGAACAGGGTGGTAAGTATTATATTTGTGTATAATTAGATTAGCAAGGGTAAGACTTGATAATCTCTTAGAGGGGTTAAGAAAGGTATATGATATACCTCAATGTTATAAGCAATGGTGGCCAAAGGTCATGTCCTATCATATCATGCTTAAATCTCCACGCAAAAACTTCTAAAGAATGAAAACCTACTTCGTAATCCCCAAATGTATTTATCATTTTTGAAGGCAACAAAACAGATAACGGAACAGAGCAATGTAAGGGGATTATGTGCGAGGATGGAAAGATGTGCCGCATTGTCGAAAATAAATCACCCGAATGTTACTGTCCAACTGAATGCAATGACGATCCCGATCCCCACTGCTCTGTGTTTCTGGAAGATTATCACAACCTGTGCGAGGTTCATCGCCACGCCTGTAGGATGCAGATCAACGTTGCTGTGAGGCACCGTGGACGATGTGAAGGTATTCGATTAATCCAACATTAATAGTATAATTCTACTTTCCGATTGAGTAATTTTGACTGAATTCGTTCTGTGATTGGTCAAGAAAGCAGGTGCTAACGGTTAACCGATATTCACATGGTGGTTCACTTTTTCTCGCACTTCACGCACTTTTTTGTTTAAAGGAGATAATCATTAGCTTCGTGTTTTATCTCTTCTTTAGTATGGTTGTTATCATGTCAATTTTAATTTTGGCGATCCAACTCTCAATCGAGATTTGCACAAAAATACAAGCAGCGTTTATCCTATTTTCTGTACCGGACGTGAAGCACACGGCTCGGGACAAATTAAGGAATCAACAACCGCTAAACCAAAATAGAGAAGTCTCGTTGACCTTACTGTTAGGCGCAATGCTGTTAACATTATTTGTCACTCTTTGCATAGACTTTGACTAGACGTACCAATCAAAATGACCCTCGGTATATAGGATTGGAAAAGCCTTCCAAAGAGGAATACGTTTTACCTGTAATCAACTACAGTTGTACAAACCTGGTACATATTTTATTTTTACCATTTTTAGCGTATGCAAAGGGTCAGCAGATCTCAAAACTGGTCGACGAGTCCTTCGTTCCAATCAATGAATGTACCGAGGAAGAACTTCTACAGTTTGCAGAACGCTTCCTAGAATGGGCAATGATAAATAAAGAAATTTATGACAGTGATGATCCAGCATCCCTTGATCTTGAAGGTCTTGTCAACCAGGCAAGGCTGCTTGGATTTACATCGTTAGAGAAAACAGAAATATTGACGGTAAGAATAGAATCGAGTTCAGATGAATGTAAATTGTTCGCGCTCTATGTATTTTGACCATTGTGTTACGCATTGGCGGGTTAGGCTTTAGACTCAGTTGAAACCTACCCTGTATATGCCTTTGGTAGTCTCAGTGTTGAAGTAATTTATGTCATTTATGCAACGCTTTAATTTTTTCTGAACCATTCTTCGATTATCAGAATGTTAATCATGTGTGCACCTCCCCTAGTTCCAATTTGAAGACATCGATTCAAACGGAGATGGCTTTCTAGATAAAGGTGAAGTTGATGCTATGATGGCGCATATTCCTCACGAAGAATGCCTGTTTGGGTTCATGATTTCGTCTGACTTGGACGGGGATCACAAGCTTAACAAAAGGAATGGTTTGACTCCTTCAAGTATGTTGGTAAGTATTTTTGTAAATCAAGGATCACACAGCTAAACCCGTAACCTCTTTAGTGGACAGTCCCCTAAAACTTAACTAGACAACTAGTCAGTTGCACGCAAATTAACAACTGATTCATACGTCAGTGTGCGTATATCATTGCGTGAAGTTTGTACCAAGTTTGGAGATGTCAAAAGCGCATAACACACAGCTGATGTTGAACGACTTTTTTATAAGGTTAGGGTAATATTGTTAAAGAATAAATTCGTTGCGTTCGCTCAAAATTTAGCGAGTACAACGAGAGTATAAAGTACGCTCGCGCATTTGATTCTGGGCTCACAAATTTTTCAACTCTGTTATAGAGAGGTAGTTTGGGGGGGACAACGCACTTGACCAATTCAAAACTGTACGGTTCATAAGACTCAAATTTTTTTTAAATTTAAAGAACCGTTTTTCTTTTTTTCAGAAAATGCAGTAGAAGAAGACGAAGAAATAGACAGCTAACTTATTATAATTAATAACAATAATAATAATAACTAATTGATAACACAACCAACTATCGCTCAGCGCTTTACAATGCTTTAGTTCGTTGCAACATGAACGTTACCACGGCAGGCGAGGAAAAGTTCGAAATGTTAGCGAGTAATGACGAAAGTCACGTCTGTATATTTCTCTCGATGAAAGTGTTTAGAGTAACAGATTTGGTTAAAATGGAGCTTTCTATAAGTGTTCAGCTCGGTGAAATGTCAAAGCAACTCTTCCTCTGCCGTTATGTTTGGATTGTGAGTAGATATCTAAAGTTCAAAACGATAACTGTTTCATTCAATTTCTAATATCCCTAAGTTACGTTATATTTTTAAACTAAGCACAGTGACTATGACTTCATAGTACTTCATAATATAAATAGAAAATTTGCGATGCTTTTTCTAATGGCTTTTTAGGATTATGCTGTAATCATTTTTGGACTGATGAGTCAGGATACAAGCATATGTCAAATAATTCCAATGGCCAGTGAATCTATTTTAAATTTCTAGTTGATGTTTTGTCCCTCATCACTCAATCAGGAAGTGCTGGCCTGACATGCAATGCTACTCCACTCCCCCCCCCCCCTCCCTCCCTCAGCCTTCAAAACACTGTCAGGCCAGTTGGTTCTCTTTGAGAGCTTTTGTGTATTAAAAATGAAGCTGTGATTATTTTATGGTGCAGAAGCCTTAGAAATGAGGTGTGCTCATATCTTCACAGTATCTGCACCTTAAGGAAGAAGCACCAAGCTCTTAGTTGGTTGCCACAAAGAAATATGCAAAAAAGTTCTTGAGATTAAATACTTTAAATTACAAGGATAGATTTGAGAATGATTCCATTTCAGTGAATTCAAGTCTTCTGGACAAATATTAATTATTAAGTAGGAGCTGTCGCAATTTAAGGAAGCATGGGAGATATAATATTTATATCTCATGTGCATGATATTATTTTTTCTCTTTTGTGAAAGAGGTCTAGTGATGACAGTCTCATAATACACATTCTGCTGTTTTGGCAGTATGCCTGGACCTCAAAATCCAGGATATTAAAATGTTGTTACTGGATGTGGATTTTGAATAGCCATTGTTTATTTCATACAGTTTTAAAAATGAGTATACATCAGATAATGTTACTGAATAGGGAATACTACCCTCAAACACAATAGACCTGATTCAATATTTTCTCTCCTAGTAATGTAGCAAAGAAAATTTGGTGTTTTCCTAGATAGATAAAACCCTCTAGCTGATGTGCTTGTTTTATTGCAAATCAGTTTGTGGGATAAAAGATATTTTTATAAGGAGAAGTAAGATTTGTCAATCAAGTATGGGACTTGAAGAGGTGGGGAGCTTTAAGGCAATGGAGTTAAAGCCCTTGTGTCCCCCCTGAACACTTTATAGGGATTTCAAAGCTGAATCAGGAGGATAGTAGGTGGCAATATTCCAGAAGCAACCAGTATCTTTGATGGTAGTTCTTTTGGAAGCTTGTTCTAAAATAAAGTGTCTAGCTTAAATTAAAAAAACACCAGGGGTGCCTGCATTCAAAACCAAATTTTGTGGTTTAATATTAATATGCCTTTGACACCTGGTTTCATAGCTGCTTTCCTTTTGTTCTGTTAAACTCATTAAACCATGCTGTAGCCATTGAGTTGATATGACCATGTGATTTTTAGAGGAATATATTAGGAAAATTTTCTATATCAATAGAGGAAAGCTACTTGAATATACTATATTTCAAAGGCACTCCTAGTGCAAAAAATGTAGTACCAGTAGTAATTTTCAGGACCAGTTATTGACTCAAAATTTAGCCTCCTAACCCTGATTGGATGGCAGGAAAATAGTGAAAACAAATTTAGTTTTGCCTTGCAAATATCTTTGTGCTATTTAAGAACCACCTTAAGCAGAAAAATAAATAAAATTGTCAATTATGCTACAACTGAGATTTGCCATCAGGGAAAGGGGGGTGGGGTAGAATGAAAAAGAAGAGAAAATTGGGAAAACAGAGATTCTGGTGTTTAATGTTATGGAATGGGGAGGGGGGGGGGGTAGGTTAAGATTTAAAAGGTCTAGTGGAAAAAGGTGAACTGGGAAAATTTGACAACTTGGTTTGACAAGGCCAAGTTGATGATGCATGATCATCAACTATTCTAATGTAAGCTATATCTATACCAGTCAGCTGGTATAGATATAGCTTATATTTGTTTAAACATTTTATGAGCCTGGAGGGAAGGCATACACAAACTAATGGAATGGGATATGTTTTGCACAGCCTCGCCCAATCAAATCTCATCCCAATCACCAAATCACCTAAATCTCTTAATGCTCTATGTCAAGAAATGTCAAGTTACAGGAACGCTACCAATAGCTTTTATCTGCATCTAACAGCATTTCAACAATTCATACTAGTTTACGAAAAAAGAAAAATAAGATTTGGGATCACTGCGTAAGGCCTTGGAATTACAGGGAGAAGACATATATCTCAAGACTTCCCACTCACTTCCCCAGGCTCAAGAACTATAAAAGAGTAATTTTGCTAGTTGTTAAACCAACCATCATTCTTTACTTACTCACACAATCTTTCTGCACTTTTATTTTAAAACAACCAAAAACGTCATCCGTGTGCTCGAAAGCTTGCATCTGATAAATTGAAGAGGTCACGATAACCTCCTCCCCTCCCCTGCTCGCTGACAAGATTTCCGTACAGCCCAATACCTCCCTACGCAGACAGGATAAAGAAAACAATGGCGTAAGCAATCGATCGTTTGGGAATCAGGGCGTGAAATTGCGCCTAATACAGGCGCCAATGCGACTAAATTTTTAACTTTGGCGACCAAATCCTGAAAGTTAGTCGCCAAATTGGCGACTAGAACGTTTCATCATAACCTTACCAAGAGATATAGTGAATTAAAAAGATTTGCAAAGATAAATCCGCGGCAAACTTTCTCGTTAAGTTTGTTTCCAAAACGTAGCACATGCATCTCGATCGATAACTAGACGCCATCTTGGATTTAGATGAGCCTGAACTTTGTATATCATCCATCCTAGTGTCCACTTTGTAGCACGTTAAAGATCTTTTCCCTAACTTAATTTTGGAGGGTCTATCTAGAACGTTGACAGCGTAAAGAAAGATTTTATTTGTCTTTGAAAATGGCGACCAACTTTTTTTGAATTGGCTACCACTTTGAAGAATTTAGGAGCCAAGTGGCTATCAGAAAAAAAAGTTAATTTCACGCCCTGGGAATGTGTCTTGGTTTTTGAATAGTATGATGTTAGATGTCTCCGAGACATGCTGGCCGAGTCCTATTCAGTATTATTGGCAACACACGGAAGATTAATATGCCTTGTCGAAAACCGCACGTGATGCTAAGCTTGAAAACAAGAGTGTGTTATCAACCCAAGATGTCTAGGAAATAATCCACTCTCGCGTGAGAAGCTTTTTAGTTTAAATACCAGACGTTTACATTACTGATAAGCAAAAATTCGTTAATTCAGTGGATAATCTCCTTACTTCGTTCAAGCGCCGCGTAATGAAACGCGATTTGCTCCTGACTTGTCTAGTGTTTGTTAGATTTTTGTTTGTTGAAGAAAACTACAGTGGCCCACAACTGTCACGGCAATCCTAAAGAGCTCACGGCTAAACCAAAAGGCTTTTGGTTTTGCCGTGAGCTTTTCGGTTTTGTCGTAACAGTTGTGGGCCAAAACACAAACCGTGGAAAAAACTCTTTGCGACCTGCCTACTTGTTGGTGCGTAAATTATGTTTCATGAAGCCTTAAGAGAGAGAAGGAAGTGAAAAATTCTCGAAAACGATTCTTCGTGAGGCCAAATGAAAACTGGTATTTTCTCGATAAAAAAAAAAAGGAAAAAGAAATCCTCAGTGACCCCGACGTGACTTGAACACGCAGCCTTCTGATCTGGAGTCAGACGCGCTACCATTGCGCCACGGAGTCCCACGCCATAAGAGAAGGAGAAATTTATATATTTAAACTCATTAAAATGATTGCAATATTTATATGGTTTGTCCATTTTCCACTATCAACTAACGTTTCATCCAGTTATGGGTAACTTGTTTTCGTTTGTATTAACTCGTAATATTCGGGGGAAAAGTGTATTTTGCGACTATTTAAAATTACTTTCGACAACCACCGGCTGCAGGTGGACGCGAATTGAAATCTGAATAAATTTCCCATTTACAAACGAAAACAAAAATGTTCGCGAAATGCAAAGAAACTAGGAATGCACTAACTGGTTATAGCCATGATATCAGCTAATATTCACTGTCTCAATTATTTATCAACAGGACAAAGAAGATGAAAATGTCATAGCAACAGGTTTTTAGGTTTTGATCTTCTGGCAAGCTTGAATCGTTATTAGAACAGGTTTCATATTTTGGTTCTTTGTTTAGCTCAATAGAAAGAGAAAAAATAAATTAAATTCTTGTGGCGAACACTTGGTGTCATTTAAACGATGGTTTGTTTGCCAGACATCAAAAAGCCCATAACATGCCATTAAGAAAACATCGGTGTAGTAATAATATAACGAGCCATTTACCTAACATTGTGTTACCGCTCATTAAATATGCATAGATCTTGTTGTTACCCGTTTTTGTGGCGTCTCTCAAGCTTCCTTTTCTTGGCAAATTTTCAACCAAACGAAAAGACAGAGGAATAGGGGCAAAGCTTGAAGGCCAAGGCGGTGTTTGTTATCGCCGAGCAGAATTCTACCGCTCCACTGCAAGTCTTCTCCGTCGAAACCAATCACGATCGTTCGCAGGTTGCCTTCTCACCTGAGTGGGAAAATATTATTCATCAAATTCTTTCATCTGAGTATCGTTCCCTGGAGGCAGCACAAATTAGTGGTCTGAGCAAAGGAGTTCCCTGCACAAACAGAAAATATTACTCACCTTGGTGTATTACGTGCGTGTCAAGTTCCTGGGAAAAAATCTTTCAAGCGAGACTTTAAAACTGCAGATAAAAGTTCCTTTGAAGGAATTGGTTTTTGCTTCCTAAAAAACCGGAAACAAATGTAGAGTCGTCGATGGAGTGAAATCAATTCGATATTTTTATTACTTTTCAAGGAACTGCGCGCATTGAAATACAAACCGAACGTGTGTTCGCAGCGCTAAAGGAATATCAAACAACATTAGCCTTCTAACAAATTTTAAACACAGTATTGCAATTTCTTCACGACAGTAAAACTTAAAACTAAGAATGAGTTACTACCAGCAACCTTCGTTTCAACCGCCACATTACTACCCGGCCAATGACAGCGGAATTCCCTTCCAAAGGGAATTCCCTCCGCCGAATACAGAAGTCTACACGAGCCAGCCATACCAGGCATATCCAATGGTTGCGCCACAAACTACTGTATTCATCTATGAAGATCAACCGGCCTTTCGTCAAAGAGATGATGGTCTTTTCGCCGCTCTGTGTGCAGCATGTCTGTGTTGTTGGCTGCTTCCTCCATTGACGTGGCATTGATGTTGTTGATATCAAGGGATAACGGTTCAAGCGAATTGCAAACTGAGATAAAGAAGTTTGGCCGTTTGATTTAAATTTTTTGGGGTTCCCTGTGAATCTGACGGTCGCATTCAAACGACTGAACTGCATGAAAATGGTACGGTTAGCTGAAATGGACAAAATTATAAAGCTAAAAGATAAAGCTGACGGAATGCAGTGAAAAGCAGAGAAAGACTGTGTCCATGCAAACGAAATTAACGAGAGCAACACTTCTATTCTGCAAGTACAAATCTCTTTCCAAAAAAACTTTCTCTTTCGAAAATTTTGTATTTATTTGTGTGTTTTAAATTAGAGAAAGACCAGTGTTTTAAATGTTTTTTAAAGAATAATTTGCATAATCCTCAATAACATTTCTTGTATTGTATAAATTTACTGCCTCACCTAAAATCCATCCGTGGTTTGCTTTCAACCCAGCTCGAAGTTTAATATCCGTGGCTCGCATATCGGTAATATGTTCACTTTTGCGTTAAGTATAATCATTACAAGTGCTCTTTGTCTTTCAAATAAATAACAAAAGTTACACACATTTAATTCTGTACAACGTAAGTGTTCATAAATTCATAATCAGTCGCTGGTAAACGCACATAAAAATCTCAAAATCATATCATATTTAGGACGTCATTCATGCACTATTCGAAAAGCAAGTACCTAGCTTAACGGAGTAATAATGCATGTCTTTTTTATCTGTTAAAGCGTAATTAATTGAAATTTTAGGTAAAGAAACCTCAAATTGTCAAAATGATATGGCTTACTGTACTCAAAGTACACACAATTACAGCAATTAAAAGTGTTCAGTTGGTAAGGAACTTCGATCAGTTTAGGAATACAATTATAGGCAAACTCCCGGCCTTGAGAAAGCGTATTTTGAAGGCAAAAACATTATTCATATATGAAGTAACTGCGGTATTGCAAAAACTTTTCTAGCCCTAAAAAAAGCCGTAACTGGACTTGTGTTAAATTACGATAATTTTTACGTTTGCTCGATATCGCCATGCCGGCTGACAGACCTGACACGTCACTCTCCTTTTGCACTGTCAGGCTGATGACTGAGCAAACAGCAAAGCGTTCGCCATTCTTTATCCAAGGTCTTTTAAAGAAATTTTCCAGGATTATAGCATTTTGTGAGTTACAAGTTACACCCATTGTTGGTTTTTGTAATAGTTCTACGCATTTTTTCATCTTGAGCCTCATCTCCTGCCCACGTTACGACTTTTCCCCCTGGATTGTAGATCATTCTTTTTTATTTTTATTCATTACTAAAGGTCGAATTTTCTAGTTAGTAAAGGCCTATAGTGTTTATGTTTTAAACATAATAATAATAAAAGTACGTGGCTCGCTGATATTTGACCTCTCTTCTCGTCTTCAACTCGATATCTCTAGAGTTAAACACTGGAAGAGGAATTCCATATCTTGGGATTCTTTATATATCAACTGAGTTGTTAATGTAAATTGGCCACCATAAAGAGTATCTAAGCCTGACGTTTCGAATGTTAATTAATTAGCCTTATGTTAGAGTGAAGAAGGATTCATTCGTTCAAACGAAAGGCTCACGATAAAGTGAATGCCAGCCTTGGAAACTCTTTACGGTGGCCAATTTATATTATTAACCAAGTTGATAAAATCAAATTATGTTACAGTAATTTAAAGAAGCTTTCAATTGGTGGGGGGCTTCGACAATGTTAGGCATATAATTATGAGCAACACTATTTGGAATACTGTACTTTAAAAAAGCATATACCGCAGACACTAACGTTCTATATAAAGTCTTCTTGACCCCCAGCTTCCAATTTTTCTGTCCCAAAGGGGCTTCTGAATAGCCTAAAATTCGCCTGCCATACTGAAACACTTCTTTATCGTTCAATAAAGGATCTCCAAGGTTTTTTTTTGTGTGTGATGCCAAGTAAAATGCTCTCTACCCAGGAGGATTCAGGGGCCAAGCACAAGCCCAGTACAGTCAATCACGCTTAATTTGTGGAGACGAGCGAAAACTTGTGGAAGAAAGTAGGAAGACTACGAGCAGCTGGTTAATTTTCGCACACTCGCGTTTTAGCTCTTGTGCACTGACCGGAGACCAACTTGAACAGGCTCAGGACCAGAAAGTTTTTTAATTTTGCTATAAGATACTCTACCTACTTCGCTACTGAGGAATCGCGGTGATCAAGATAATATATACAAGTTTGATATGTGACAATGGCAAGCTGGAAGTCTGGTGTTCTTTTTCTTTATTTTGGAATTTTGTCGGCAAACGGGAGCGAACGCAAGGCATGTCTCATTCGTCACGCCTGCTTCGCCTCCGCCATGCGTTCGCCTCGCGCTTACCTCAGAATGTCTCCACTCGCCTGAAAAACAAACCAAAACAATAACGCCTGTACCGAGGGCAGGTGTTACATGTGAACTTTATACACGGCCTCACTCGCCGGTGAATTTTCATTTATCTCAACCCAACACTCATCAGTCGGCCACTTACAATCTGATGTCCATTGACATTGAAGGCGACTCCTGCATACAGGAGTAGAGAAGACGCTGACTGGAAGTATGGAAATCCATAATCACTACCTCATCAGCTGCAACTCTTGTAACAATTTGTATAACCGGACATAAAAAATCCAGAGTAGAAGCTTCAGTTACAGAAAAGCAGCTGGTATTTATAACTTGTGGTAGCTACACCGATACTTTGCCACAGTTCAGGCAGTGGGTTGTCGTAATTTCCTCGTGCTACAACTGTAGAATCAGGCTTGTAGGTGAAGGCAGCTTTTTCTTCCGATATTTCATCCACAAACATTATCTCACGAAGCTATAAAAAAAAGAATGAAAAATATTTTATTTTTCCTTGTTTATTCTTCGTCGTGTAATATAATCGCCCGAGTAAGGAGCTGTACTCGAAATTATCAGGTAAACAATGTTATTTTTTTTAACGCCAAATTCTCATAACTAATTTACAAGGAAATTTGTAGCGGCTAGAGGGGAGAATTAACAATCAGATCAGGGAGCCACTGAGAGGAACAATAGCTCATCACGTGCGTTTTCAAACTTTGTGCATTTCATAGCCCGTGCTCGGCCACATAACAATGTGAAATAATAAGCATTTGCATGGTCTGGAAAAGGGAAACCCAGTGGCAAATCATTTTCTTTGTAGCCAGAATTCAATGATGCTCATATGTTATGCTAAAAATTAGATCTAGAGTCGTTGGAGACGGTGAACACGTTCAACAATTCGAATTTTTTTCAAGTTTATAATTATCATAGCTACTATTATTATTATTATAATAATTATTATTATAATGACTATTATTATTATTATTATGACTATTATTATTATTATTATGACTATTATTATTATTATTATGACTATTATTATTATTATTATTATTATTATTATAACAATTACTATTATTATTTATTAGGATTTCCAGCATTGAGAAGAGCCATAACTGTACACGCGTAAAATTACGATAATTTTTTTACGCGTGTTTGATATCGCCAATCAGCTGCTGATACGTCACTCGCCTTTCGTGTCACTCCGTCAGCTTGATGAACGAATGACAAAGCGTTCATCATTCTCAAGTCAAGGTCGCTTGGTGGCTTTTCTTGTTAATACAGGCCTACGGTTTTTACATAATTAAATTTTTATAAATCTTACATCAAAAAACATTTTCTCGTGTTCAACTCGAAGAGAAATTCCAGATGTTCGCACACCCATGCGTTATTTCTATATAACTGACTTTTTTCTCGTCATTTTTGTCCTGACTGCTTTAGCTCCTAGTGAGTAACTACACGACAAATGTAGCTGAATGACCACCCACCCAATCGCCTCCCTGTTTCGTTCTATTCACCCAATAAGGTATTAGGTATTGGAGTATTTTAAAAATGGTGGCTTTACCTGGATATTATTATAGTCAATTCGGTAACCATTTGTTCGGTAAGGCAGACTCGCGTTATACGTCACCTCCTTCTTAAGATCAAAAGTGTCATAAATTGAATAACACATTGTCCAGCCTCCGCCAAATTACGTCATATCACAATAGACCCAGAGTTTGCTGGTATCTGGTTGGACCTGGTACATTCCATTAGGAGCTTGCGGGAATTGGGTCTTTATGGCTTGGTAGTCCTTTCCTTGATAACAATTGAAAAAGAAATCACGCACTGTCATCCATAAGTAAGGATTTTTTACGGCAGAAAAATAAAAGTTAATTGCGAGTTTTATGAGATAAACTCGTCCTCAGGAGCTTTTCGTTTTTCAAAACGCGACGCTAACGCTAGAGACAAGACCGACCTACCCTGACCAATGATGGTTTCACAGTTGATCCCGGTAAATCCCTCGGAACATATGCACTGGAAAGTTGTTGGCCTTGAAAGACAAGTAGCATTGTTTCGACACGGACTTGACGAGCAACCATCCTAAAGAAAGATAGTTTAGTTGAGTTGTGAAGGGCATAAAAACTAAAGCGAATATCCTACAATTTAGGTAACCAAGCCAATAAACTATGGCAGGTACATGTGACAAAAGTTATTTATACCGCCATCTTTTTCCAAAGTTCGCATCACATAACTTACCAGCGGCCGTACGAGGGTTTCACAGTTGATCCCAGTAAATCCAGCCGAACACAGGCACTGGAAAGTTGTTGGTGTCAGTGAAACACAAGCAGCATTGTTCAGACATGGAGTTGACGAGTTGCCATTCGTGACTATTGCTTGGTCGAACTGTTAAGGGCGTATTTTTAAGAACATTTTGAAAACAATAATTTACAGTTCTTTTATGTAGGAAGGCGGAAGCTACCTAATACAGTCAAAGATAAAGTTCTTCAAATGGCTGCTGGCGAATGGGGCCGAACAAAGTTAAAATCTTTGAATGACAGTTTTTGCATGTGGGTACAATCAAGCACAACCCTTTTTCATCATGAGTTTTAAAAAGAACTGCGGGAATAAATCGATTGTCCTTAAAAGAGAACTTGTGAATTGTGTCCTGTTCGAGAAGACAAACTAATATTGCTACCAAAGGAATTCCTGACATGGCATCTCAGATACTCTACCACTGAGCTGGCTATAAGAGACTCATAGTAATGTTATCTATTTCACTGAACGTTTCAGAAGTTCCTTGGTGGGTCATACATATTACCTACCATCAACCTGATTCTGATAAATTACTGACCCAGCAGCCCAAGGAAATTGGTTGTAGCAAATCCATGGACTGCGTTTATGCTACAGAAATTCTCCATACGGCAAGGATTTGAGGACAGACGGGATAGGAATGCCGTTTTCCCCTTCACAGATGTTAAGATCCTATCTCGAAACGTACATCACGCGGTATTATGCTTTCGCAATTAATCCCGTTACATCCTGAGCTACAAAGGCACTGAAAGGTAGTTGGTGTCAGTGAAAGGCAAGTAGCTTTGTTAAGACACAGAATTGACGAGCAACCATTCTGAAACAAAGAGAGTTAAGATCTACCTTGAAGGGCATCAGTTTGATGCCAGCTGCAAAATAGGTCTAAACTGATTCAAAATTTCTTGCTTTATTGTTTAAACCGGCTCTGAATAGTCACCAAGATTCACCCTAAAGAAGATTCACCGTTAGTTCCAATTGTTGTACATGATGTGGAATCAACAAACTCATCTAAAGTGATTTTCTATCAAATTAACTCTGTATGTGTAGCCTGGCTTGAGAACCAAATCATTAGGGTGCAGCACGCGGTCTGAATTACTGAGCTCACAGGTGTGTTCATAAGCCTGATAAGGTCCCAGATTGTAGGAGAGACAGTTAGGTTCCTGGAAACATCTAACCTCGCATTGCACGACAGTTTCTACTTGTACAGTTGTTATCACGTGACCACTGAGAGCTTTGCCAAGGTCGCGAGGTAAGAATTCCAGTATTCGGCAAATGTCTGGAAATGAAATTCGTCAATGAAACCGAATTTGATCTTTTCAAAATGATGTATGGATGAATAGTGAAAAAGTATATGAAGGTCATAAAACCAAAGTGAACGCATCAGCCGATCAGAACGAAAGGACGTGTCACGAGGAGCCAATGAGATTTCAAGGACAATGAGTGTAAGCTGCGCGAGAAAACGTTAGCGGTGCCTTCGTCGCGATTTGTTTAGTCTGGCATCCGATTGGTCGGGTAAGTGACACGATGTTCTTAGCGAGTCACAACCTTTCCGGTGAAGTGAATCGATGCAATCTTAAAGGGGGGGGGGAAGGTATGTTTCTAAAGAAACTGAGGTGCTGCGTCGGTTAAAGTATTACATGATACTTTGTTCTTATCAACTGAATTGATAATATATTGGCCAACGTAAAGAGTTTCTCAAGCTGATTTTCGAGTGTTATCCCCTCGTCAGAGTGAAGCTTTACAATCTTAGACCATTTTCGACACTAAATTGAAAGCTTTTTCGTTTTGATTTCTCGCTCCTATTAGCTTTACACTGGCAAATGGTATAGATTATTGTGAAGCACGCCAGGAATTAAGAAAATCAGCACAGCTGGTACATTCAACTTTGCTGACATATTCGTTCTTTTAAAAAAACTTATATCGTAAATTAATTGTATGTACCACACATGCGAATAGCGCTTTTCGCACGCGCTTATTAGCTCATTCGGAAATGATTAGCAAGTAGTATTCATGAGAGACAAAATCGAGCGTCGAGAGTTTAATTTTCGATCATTTTTTGGTATACTGACAGAAATAAACTAATATTTGGTTTCTGTAAAGAAGATACTGAGCCAATTATTCACCTTAGTGTCGGTAAAAATAGTTTATATTTACCTCCACGTGGGTGGGCAATTGTTTATAGTGCATTAATGTATCAGGCAACGCTGCGCTTCTTGAAAATAATGTTAAGACATAAACTGGTAAATTATTAAAAAACTTAAGAGGTGGAAAGCAAAAGAAGATAGTAGTTGGCTCTTTAGTTCTGAACTACCGAGGAGAGAGTATAACCAAGCGTTTTGACGAGAACATCAGCTTGTTAATCCTCCTTAAACGAGCAGTATGTTAAGTTAACGCCTCGCTTGAATTTCTAGGAAACGTTGGAATGGCAGCTTTTGCTTGAGATTTTTATATAGACTTAAAACAATAGTTAAGAAAAAAAAGCTCTTTGAAAACTAAATTTCCTTCGGCAAGCTCAAAAACTACTTAACGACACCAGCAATCACTTTTTAAGCTTCAAAATTTTCAGAAACTTATCACCTCTGTGAACACTTAATATATATAGCGTAAACGAGAAGCTTACTATTATTATTGAATTAAACAAACAAATCAACCATGTTGTCTTCACTGGACAAATATAATGATAGTTTAACAACAAACTGTATCATTGATCGTTAAACGGTTGACCCTGAATAGCCGGGAGAACCACAACAACAATGATTTACGTGAACTAGCCGATGATAATTATAGAAGTAATTACAAATTAATTGGCCATGCACAGATGTCGCTAATGAATTTGGTCGCCAATAACACGTTGATCTTCGAATGATACACAAAAAACGAAATAATATACAGAGGCGAGCTTCATTAAAAGAACAAACCACAAAAGAGGCTTGAAAAAATTTACGCTCCCAAAATGAAGCTATACAGGTGAATTGGTATTACTAACATCTAAAATGTGCGGGTGCGGTGCGAATCCTGTCGAAACCCAATTTTTTCAAGTTATCTTTCAATTAATTTTTCTTTTAGAGCAGCTCGCTTACGTGGATCATTTCTTTACTTCTTCAATATTTTATTTTGTTAGCTGGTCAACTCAACTAAGCTGTTTTTCTGACTATAAAAGCTGCAGCTTCATTTGCACAACAGCAGAAAATGCTGTTTTTCATTTTTTTTCCTTATTATTATTATTATTATTATCATTATTATCTTTTTCTCTATTCAAGAGTGCACCTGGTCAGTTCCCAGCCATCTTGAGTGACGCTCACCATGAAGAAGCGGAGGAGCACAAAGCACGATGGGTAACTTTCTATCATAATTAACATCAATAGCTCGTATACAGATAGAAGTCATTTACCAAAGAAATTTACCCAAAGCATCGTTTGAACGAACATGTACAAAGATCTTTATCACTTTCTTGTTGTTTTCCTGGGGATATTCTTTGATTTCAGTATTATGGGAATATTTTTCGATTAAAACTGAACAGTCCACACTCTGAAAGCAAGGCTTGGATGCCTGGGGGCGAAATCCAACGAAAACCTGTATATATTATGATATCCTTTTTTTAGAGAGATCATGAGAAGATGGCTATAAATGGCCGGAAAAAATGTATTTTTTAACACTGATACGTTCTAAATCTTATCATCATTTTACGTTTGAAAGCTGCCACAAACAAATATTTCGAAAGTAGCAGATAAAAACATTCGGCTATCATCGGTCAACTGACCAACAGACCGACTGACTGACTGACTCGCCAACGATCAACTAACTGACTTCTTGACTGAGTGAATGGTTGACTGTCTAACTGACTGACCGACTTACTGAAGATACAAAATAATATTCTACGCCACAAAAACTCTTTCAGCCATAATTTATCTCAGTCCAACACTCATCAGTCTGCTGCTTTGCGGCCGATGTCCATTGACGTTAAAGGCGACTCCAGCATATCTTGAATCAGTTGACGCTGACCTGAAGTAAGGGGTGAGCCAATCAGCACACCAACGATCGCACCTCTTATAACAGTTTCTATAACCAGATATGAAAAAGCCAGAGTAGAAGCTGTGGTCACAGATAAGAAGCTGGTATTCATGATTTGTGGTAGCTACACCTCCACCTAGCCACAAGCCTGAGATTCGTGTCTGGTAATTTCCCTCTGCGACGAGACTGGAATTAAGTTTATAGGTAAAGAAAGCCTTTTCATTCGTGGTCTCATCCACAAAGAGAATTTCCCGAAACTGCAAGCAAAAAAAAACAAAACAAAAAAAAATAGACTGTCGTGTTGAATAAGATGATCAGGTTAAAAGAACAAGAACAAGTAGATTAAGAATCTTCAGACTGAAACTTGATGAAAAAAGCACCATTCTGGTGATAAGAAATAGTTAAGCATTCCAAAAAAGAACAGGTTCTTATTTTGAAAATGTGGTCATCAAATTTAGGAAACAGTGACATATGTTCAAATTATGAATGCCAGACCAAATGAAGCACGGTACAGAAGGTACTGAAATTCTTGTAGTAAATTTGGCATTCCAGGGGGGATCACTGTCAGTTCTCATCTACAGCATGGTACAGAGTTGGTTAAAAACCTAAATATACAATATAGAATAAAACTCCCAGTGAAAATATAAAATATTTCCGTAAGAGGGCAAGAGAGTGTTTATAAGTTATTTATTAGGCTGATTACTCATTATGGCGCCTGAAATATGACAAACACATAAGCCAGGATTTGCCAAACATCGTTATTCCTCAAAATTAAACTCTTGCACCTTAACCTCTTTCAATCACCTGAACATTATTGCAGTCAGTTCGGTAACCATCTGTGCCATAGCGATAATTCTCGTCATAGGTCACTTCTGTTTTAGGGTCAGCAAGATCGTCAGTAGAGTAACACATCGTCCATCCTCCTCCAAATGACGTCATATCACAATACGCCCAGAATTTGTTTTGCTCGATGTTCGGTTGTATTTCGTACATCCCAACTGGAGCACTTGGGTATGTGGCCTTGATCTCCTTGCAATTAATTCCTTTTTAAGAGAGAGAAAAAAAAAAGAAGTTAGATACCAGGCCTCGTTATTAGCGCTATAGGACACGCTTTTCTCCGCCCATGGGAAGATTTGAAACGAGTCGGGATGAGGTTAGCCGGAGGTCTGACACTATCAGTGTTATTATTGTCATATTATTTATGTAATCACGGGCAATTCACCAGCTTTTTACAAAGGATTAAAAACTATCAATTATTAATTATATTACTTACTTTATATTACTGCTTTCCATAAATGCCGAGCCTTAGAGAACTTTGTTGATTTCTCATTTGAACGACCCGAGGGGTTTCGCGCAACCAGCCTCACAAGGGAGGCTACTCCACAAAGTGGCGCCATTACAGCTAAAACTATTTTTGAATGAATTTGTTGGTGGTTTTCGAACATTAAGTTTGTTCTCGGAGTAGCTCAGGTTGTAACTTGTATTGCGTTTAAAATGAAGTCCCGTACAGACCTCCCGCCGGCTCGCATTGCTTAAGGCATCATACTTTCTCGCGAACGCTTCCCGCTGGCTTACCTGTCATAAGTTGGCAGACTCCTATGCCATCGAACACACCGCTGACACAATTGCATACATACGAGCCCACGGTGTTAACGCAGTCCTCGTTCACCGGGCAGTTGAACTGGTTGGTTTCACACTCGTCTATGTCTGCAGCAAAGAGCGACTTTAAAATGATTGACAGGGAAAATCAGCTCAGGGAAGTCAGTTAAAACAAGCATCGAAAGTGATTCTATACTGCTTTGAATTTGCTTTACCTCGTTCTGTGATTGGTTAGGAATACTCGTTCTATCCTCTCAATCAATTCACGGAATCAGATGCCAAACTAAAAACAATCGCGTCTTAATTTATGAGGTGACACTGCATTGCTTGGTTTGCTTAACATACCCGTTTCACAGCTGTTCCCGGTAAATCCTTTTGGACACAGACACTGGAAAGCTGTCTCCGTGAGAGAAAGACATGTGGAGTTATCAGGGCAAGGACTTGACGAACAACGACTCTAACCAAGAGATAAATGAAATATCTGTCACGTAATTCTGGCAGAGAAATCATGAACAGTCGCCAAAACTTGAAAATGAAGTGGGCAAAACTTTGGAGATACAAATAACGGCGTAATTCCGGGCAAAAGTAAGAGTTAACTGAGTGTGCCCGATACAAAGAAATTACAGTATGTCGCATTCAATCCCAAAAGACCAAAAGATATATTGTTTGTTAAATACATAAGCAAAGATTTCGAAAACTTATCGAACTGACTAGACTAGACTAGACTCTAACTGACTAGAATCTTGCCAAAGGGGATAAATTTGTTCCCTGAATTTGGTAAATTCCTATACAATTTCTTTTTTTTAAGTCAGCTACATGGCATATTTATTTTACAGAAATCAAATTGATGAGACTTCATTTTCAAAATTAAACATGTCAAGTTAGATTTTCAGTCAACATTAGTTTCCATTCTCTCCGTCTCGAACATTGTTATGAAACGAGGCTATTATCGTTCGAAACCTTAAAGCGGAAATTATATTATCTCCAAACGTAAATAACCTTCGTTCTTATGACAAAAGCTTTGCTAATTTCATTCTGAGGGTAAGGTGTTTTGGAACTCAGAAATGGCCCATTACATTGTGTACCTCAGTTGGTCTGTATATGTACCCTGCCATAGGAACTAAATCAGCAGGGTCTCGGATGTGATCCGATTTGCTGAGCTCACATTGATGTCCACCAGCCTGTTTGGGTCCTATGTTATAGGAGAGACACATGAGGTCGCGGAAACAAGCAATCTCACAATGGTCATCTGTCTCCACTGGTATCGTTTTGATCACGTGACCAATAAGGGCTTTATCAGCAATGCGTTGTAAGAAATGCACTTGTCGGCAGACATCTGTAAATAAAACAAGTAGTAACATGAGCTTTTTTTCAGATATGGTTTGAGGGGGTTTTCAATAATATTTTCCACAGGCTTCTGCCGATGGTGTGCCCGGAGAGGGCCGTAAGGCGAAACTCAAATATGAATGCCAGGTTATAGGTTAAAGAGACTGTGGTAAGTCTTAGCAATAGAACATCGGTAGCGGCTTTTTATAAACCATTGCGTCTGAAATTATTAGTTTATAAGGTAAGAGTTATTTGTTATATCAATTTGAGCAAGCAAACGTCGTCGTCTACCACTGTATATGAAACTCAGGTCACTGAGCTAAGCTTAGTTTTTCCCGTCATCTTTGCGACAACTTTTCAAATCATTTGTTCAAAGTTGAACAACACTTTATCAAGAATGAATTACTTATAAAATCAAATGCATGAAAGGGAGAAGATGCAAGCGCTTTTTTCCAAAAGCAACAACTTTGGGGGAACTCTCAGTACTGAAAGAAACACATTTACGTTAGCGCTTTTCTCGCAACTTTTCCACCATAATGCAACAAATTAATCTTTCAAATACTTTTTTTTTTTCATTCACAGCGCTCCCTTTTGATGAGTGTCAGCTGCAACATTCAAAAACCACCGTCCATTTTTTTCCTCCCGTGTTGTATCGATCCGAAATAACTCCTCATTTTGAGTTGAATATCCTCACCGCACATCGAGGGAAACATTTACTTTTGCATGTTTTTGACCGCAAAGTATCAGGTTTAATTCCATAACCTGCGGCCAAGAAGTGTTTCGAGAGACACCTAATTAGCATGAAATCACTTTTATGCAGCAGAACTGAGCGGTAAAGAGTAATGATAAAGTTTGTCGAATATTTCCAAAGGAAATTAATTGTCTCAGTAGCTGCTAAAGGTGTATAAGTTAATAACCATAATATCTATGTCCGTTTCAGATCTCGAGATTAAAATTTTTTATTCTATAACTATTTCCACCTTCATTTTACCACTTACCCCTCCAAAGTCCTGCGAAGTTTGAGTTTAGTTGGGAATAGAAAAAGTTGCAAATTTCCCTTAGCTTTTGTTATGCATCATCGTATTAGGAAGCAATTACAGCGAGTATAGACTTAGTTACTGCGTTTATTATTGTTAGTACTAAGTGTTAGCCATAACATTTTAACTTGGAAAGTAATTACGGGAGAATTAACGGTTCAGGCTCATAGTGCGAGCTGTACACCTGTTCCGGTGTCTTAGTCGTAAACACAACTAACAATTTGACTTCATTTACCATGAATTAGTAATGAAAAGTACATTATCGGTCCTCGATATGTAAAGTACTCTATCTTCAAAAATTTTACCAAGTCCCTGCTAAGTGTTGCGAGATTAGTGGAACAAAAAAGTGGAAAATCCTCTATCAGCTGAAGTATTTACAAGCGATAAAATGTTGTCGATAGTCTTCCGAAATATTTTTAGGCTTGTTTCATTTTCAGTGCTTGAATCTTCGTGGTGTGTTTGACTAAACTCTCGTCGTGAGGACAACTTTCCGTCTCTACCATCATTCAAGACTGCTTACTGCTACCCTCGAGATGGATAACTGAAACGTAAGCAGAACTGCGAGCGAGAAAATGATACTTTGAGGGGAAAGAACTTTCCTAGGCTTCAACCTTGGTGACAAGGTAAAATATGAACGTATTTTTTTTCCTTTTTCATATTATGCTCTCTAACTTTAATTGATTAATTTGAGAGACTTACCGCTACCTCCGACAATCACGAAATGAACTGCGAACATAATGTGATGTAATAAAGCGAAGGCGAGAGACATGTTGAAATAGTACTTTGCTGTCAAGTTTCTAATTTAGATTGAAAGAAGAGTTGGGAAAACCTGACAGCTAAACGATCCAATGCGAGGCCAGTTTAACACTCCAAAGCGAGGCAACCTTATGTCTTGTTATGACGTTACTGTGGAAACTATCGCCATAGCTAATTACCAGACAAATACAAAGATGGAAGATGTGTAAATTAATAAACTCGTAAAGGTGATTCAACTGAAAAGAAATAATTAATACAAATATCTAAGTACAAATATGATAACATCAAGAATAACGACAAGAGTAAAAACAAAGCTACATGAACTAGAAATGAACTTACAATTTGTGGCATAACCAGGTCCGATAGGAAAAACTCTCAAACAAAAGTACCACGGCGCTAGCAAAAACCAACGAAACGACTGCCCTAATTGAGGTCAACCAGCGAATGAAAAATCTGGAAAAGACAACGCTTATACTGGCTACCGGTGTTACGTAAACCTTACATAACCTCACGCAAAAACGCAAACATGAGGAATAGAAAGGAAAACAATCTACACTTAGTGTATGGCTCCGAGGAAAACAATTTTGTTTTCCTGAGAGTCGTGATGTTTCCCGACAGCAGGACCCAAAGGAAAACAAAACTAACACCTTAGCTGCTTTGTTATATGTTTAGACTTTCCCTGAAACAGTCATATGGCAAAAACAAACAAACAAAGACGGCACAACTTCTTTATTTACAATCTTCAACCCTGCTGAATGAATAAGTCTTAACTTAATTACAAAATCAAGCTGACGTCAGTCTCGAGCCATGGGTCATTTTGGCTCCTTGTCGGCGGTTTGGTCGCCAAACAATCGTAAGTACGTCATGCATGGACATTACTGTACGTATGTAACGTATAGTACAAGAATTTCGTCGCCAATAATACGTTGATCTTCCAGTGATACACAAGAAACGAAATGGGTGGGACGATGAGTAACTTTCTATCATCATTAACATTAATAGCTCGTATACAAATAGAAGTCATTTACCAAAAAATTTACCTTAAGTATCGTTCGCACGAACATATACATATATCTTTGCCACTTTCGAGTTTTTTTTCAAGAGTATATTCTTTGATTTCAGTGTTATGGGAATATTTTTCGATTAAAACTCAACAATCTCTGAAAGCAAGGCTTGGAAATCAGACGTAAACTTGCACATATCATGATATCTTTTTTTAGAGTGATAACCACAGGAAGGCTATAAATGGACGAAAAACGTGTGATCTGAGAGTTTTTAACACTGACACGTTCTAAATCTTATCATCATTTTACGTTTGAAAGCTGCCACGAATGAATATTTCGAAAGTAGCAGATAACAACATTCGGCTATAATCGGCAAACTGACCGACAGACTGACTGACTCGCCAACAACCAACCGACCGACCTCTTGACTGAGTGAATGGTTGACTGTCTAACTGACTGACTCACTTACTGAAGGTACATCACCATATTGTACGCCACAAAAATTCTTTCAGCCATCATTTATCTCAGTCCAACACTCATCAGTCTGCTGCTTCGCGACCGATGTCCATTGACGTTAAAGGCGACTCCGGCATACTTTGGATTAGTGGACGCTGACCGGAAGTAAGGAGTGAGCCAATCACCACACCAATGAATGCACCCTTTATAGCAGTTTGTATAGCCAGATATGAAAAAGCCAGAGTAGAAGCTGTGGTTGCAGATAAGAAGCTGGTATTCATGACTTGTGGTAGCTACACCTCCACCTAGCCACAGGCCGGAGATTTGTTTCTGGTAATTTCCCTTTGCGACGAGGCTGGAATTAAGTTTATAGGTAAAGAAAGCCTTTTCATTCGTGGTCTCATCCACAAAGAGAATTTCCCGAAACTGCAAGCAAAAAAAAAAAAAAAACAAAACAGTGAAAAAGACTGTCGTGTTGAATAACATGACTAGGTTAAGAGAACAAGAACAATTAGATTAAGAATCTTCAGACTAAAACTTGATGAAAAAAGCACCATTCCGGTGATAAGAAATAGTTCAGCATTCCAAAAAAGAACAGGTTCTTATTTTGAAAATGTGGTCATCAAATTTAGGAAACAGTGACTCATGTTCAAATTATGAGTGCCAGACCAAATGAAGCACAGTACAGAACTGAAATTCTTGTAGTAAATTTGGCATTCCAGCGGAGATCACTGTCAGTCCTCATCTACAGTATGGTACAGAGTTGGTTAAAAACATAAATATTGAATATAAAAGATAAAACTCCCAGTGAAAATATAAAATATTTCCAGAAAAAAAAAATAACGATTACGAACCTCGTAAGCATAACATGAGGGCAAGAGAGTGTTTATAAGCTATTTATCAGGCTGATTACTCATTATGGCGCCTGAAATATGACAAACACATAAGCTGGGATTTGCCAAACATCATTATTCCTCAAAATTAACTCTTGCACCTCAACCTCTCTTAATCACCTGAACTTCATTGCAGTCAGTTCGGTAACCATTTGTGCCATAGGGATAATTCTCGTCATAGGTCACTTCTGTTTTAGGGTCAGCAAGATCGTCAGTAGAGTAACACATCGTCCATCCTCCTCCAAATGACGTCATATCACAATACGCCCAGAATTTGCTGTTCCCGATGTTCGGTTGTATTTCGTACATCCCATCTGGAGCACTCGGGAATGTGGTCTTGATCTCCTTGCAATCTGTTCCTTTCAAAGAGAGAGAGAGAAAAAAAAAAGTTAGATACCAGGCCTCGTTATTAGCGATATAGGACACGCTTTTCTCCGCCCAGGGGAAGATTTGAAACGAGTCGAGATGAGGTTAGCCGGAAGTCTGACATTATCAGTGTTATTATTGTCATTAAAATTTATGTAATCACGGGCAATTCACCAGCTATTTACAAAGGATTAAAAGCTGTTAACTATTAATTGTACTAATTACACTATATCACCGAGCATTAGAGAGCTTTATTGATTTCTCGTTTGAACGACTCGAGGGATTAATTCTGCGCACCCAGCCTCGCAAGGATGGCTATTCCACGACGCGGGGCCTTTATAACCAAAAATATTTTAAAATGAATTCGTAAGTGGCAAGTTTGTTCTCGGAGTCCCTCAGGTTGTAGCTTGTATTACGTTAAAAATGAAGTCCCTTACAGACCTCCCGCCGGCTCGCGTTGCTTAAGGCATCATACTATCTCGCCGACGTTTCCCACTAGCTTACCTGTCATAAGCTGGCAGACTCCTCCGCCATCGATCATACCGCTGACACAACTGCATACATATGAGCCCGCAGTGTTAACGCACTCCCCGTTCACCGGGCAGTTGAACTGGTTAGTTTCACACTCGTCTATGTCTGCAGCAAAGAGCAACTTTCAAATGAGTGACGGGGACAATCAGCTCAGGGAGGTCAGTTAGGTCAACCATCGAAAGTGATCCTGAGTTGCTTTGAATTTTCTTTACCTCGTTGATTGGTCATGAATTCTTGCTCTATCCTCTCAATCAATTCATGCAATGAAATGCAAAACTAAAAACAATCGCGTCTTAATTCACGAGGTGACATTAAATTGCTTGGTTTGCTTAGCATACCCGTTTCACAGCTGTTCCCGGTAAATCCTGGTGGACACAGACACTGGAAAGTTGTCTCCGTGAGGGAAACACATGTGGCGTTATCAGGGCAAGGACTTGACGAACAACGACTCTAACCAAGAAATAAATGAAATATTGGTCCCGTTATTCTGGCAGAGAAATCATGAACAGTCGCCAAAAACTTTGGAGATTCAAATAACGGCGTAATTCCGGGAAAAAATAAGTGTTAACTGAGTGTTCCCGATACAAAGAAATTACAGTATGTCGCATTTAATCCCAAAAGACCAAAAAGATATATTGTTTGTTAAATACATCAGCAAAGATTTCGAAAACTTATCGATGACACCTGCTAACTGACTAGAATCTTGCCAAAGGGGATAAATTTGTTCCCTGAATTTAGTAAAAACCCTATGCAATTTCGTTTTTTTAAGGTAGCTACACGGCATATTTATTTTACATAAATTAAAACTGATGAGACTTCATTTTCAAAATTGAAGTTGTAAAGTTAGATTTTCAGTCAACATCAGTCTCCATTCTCCTACTCTCCAACATTGTTTTGAAACGAGGCTATTATCGTTCGAAACATTTAAGCGGAAATCATATTTTCTCCTAATGTAAATAAACTTCATTCTCACGACAAAAGCTTTGCTAATTTAGTATCATTCTGAGGGTAAGGTGTCTTGGAACTCAGAAATGGCCCATTACATTGTATACCTCAGTTGGTCTGTACATGTACCCTGCCATAGGAACTAAATCAGCAGGGTCTCGGATGTGATCTGATTTGCTGAGCTCACATTGATGTCCATGAGCCTGTTTGGGTGCTATGTTATAGGAGAGACACATGAGGTCGCGGTAACAAGCAATCTCACAATGGTCATCTGTCTCCACTGGTATCGTTTTGATCACGTGACCAATAAGGGCTTTATCAGGAATGCCTTGTAAGAAATGCACGTGTCGGCAGACATCTTGAAATAAAACAAGAAGTAATGAAATATTTTTTTTCAAATATGGTTTGCGGGGGTTTTCAATAATATTTTCCACAGGTGCCTGCCGATGGTGTGCCAAGAGAGGGCCGTAAGGCGAAACTCAAATATGAATGCCTGGTTGTAGGTTAAACAGACTGCGGTAAGGGTTCGTAATGGCGGCAGTAGAACATCGGTGGCGGCTTTTTATAAACGGTTGTGTCTGAAATTATTAGTTTATCAGGTAAGAGTAAATGGTTATATCAATATGAGCGAGGAAACGTTGTCGTCTACTACTGTATATTAAAGTCAAGTCACTGAGCTAAGCTTAATTTTTCCCACCATCTTTGCGACAACTTTTCAAAATCATTTGTTTAAAGTTGAACAACACTTTATCAAGAATAAATTACTTATAAAATCAAATGCATGAAAAAGAGAAGATGCAAGCGCATTTTTCTAAAAACAACAATTTTGGGGGAACTCTCAGGACTGAAAGAAACACATTTACGCTAGCGCTTTTCTTTTCTTTTTGTTAGTACTTAGTGTTAGCCATAACATTTCAACATGGAAAGTCATTACGTGAAAATTAATAGCTCAGGCTCGTAGTGCGAGCTGTACCTATTCCGGTCTCTTGGTCGCAAACACAACTAATAATTCGACAGCATTTACCATGAATTAGTAATGAAAAGTAAATTATCAGTCCTCGATATATAAAGTGTCTTTATCTTCAAACATGTTTCCAAGTCCTTGCTAAAACAACGGAAAATCCTTCTATCAGCTGAAGTACCTACAAGTGATAAAATGTTGTCGATAGTCTTTCGAAATATTTTTACTTATGTTTTATTTTCAGTGCTTAAATCTTCGTGCAAATTATAGTTAGCAGGAGATCGAGCTGAAACACCTGACTAAACTCTCATCGAGAGAACAACTTTCCGTTTCTACCATTACTCAAGACTGCTTATCGCTACCCTCGAGATGGATAACTAAAACGTAAGCAGAACTGCGAACGAGAAAATGATGCTTTGAGGGGAAAGAACTTTCTAAGGTTTCAACCTTGGTGACAAGGTAAAGTATGAACGTTTCCTTTTTTCCTTTTTCATATTATGCTCTCTAACTTTAATTGATTAATTTGAGAGACTTACCGCTACCTCCGACAACCACGAAATGCACTGCGAACATGATGTGATGTAATAAAGCGAAGGCGAGAGACATGATGTTGAGATGGTACTTTGCTGTCAAGTTTCCAATTTAGATTGAAAGAAGAGTTGGGAAAACCTGACAGCTAAACGATCCAATGCGAGGCCAGCTAAACACTCCAAAGCGAGGCAATCTTATGTCTTGATATGACGTTACTATGGAAACTATCGTTATAGCTAAACACTAGAGAAATATAAAGATGGACGATGTATAAATGTATAAACGTGTAAACTTGATTCGACTGAAAATAAATAATTAATACAAATATCTAAGTACAAATATGATAACGTCATGAATAACAACAAGAGTAAAAACAAAGCTACATGCAAAATATATGAACTTACAATTCGTGGCGTAACTATGTCCGATAGGAAAATCTCTCCGAAAAAAGTACCACGGCGTTAGCAAAAACCAACGAAACGACTGAGGGAATGGGAATGAAAAATTTAGCTTATACTGGCTACCGGTGTTACGTCAACCTTACATAACCTCACGCAAAAACGCGAACTTAATGAATAGAAAGGAAAACAATATACACTTAATGTATGGCTCCGAGGGAAACAGTTTTGTTTTCTCGAGAGTCGTGATGTTTCCCGAGACAAAGTCGAGGGAAACAGCAGGACCCAAAGGAAAACAAAACTAACTAGTTTCCCGAAGGACAATACCTTAGCTGCTTTGTTATATGTTTAGACTTTCCCTGAAACAATCATATGGAAAAAAACAAACAAACAAAGACGGCACAACTTCTTTATTTAAAATCTTCAACCCTGCTGAATGAATAAGTCTTAACTTAATTACAAAATCAAGCTGACGTCAATCTCGAGCCATGGGTCATTTTGGCTCTTTGTTAGCGGTTTGGTCGCCAAATAATCGTAAGTACGTCATGTATGGGGAATTATTATGGACATTACTGTACGTATGTGAAGTATAGTATAAGAATTTCGTCGCCAATAATACGTTGATCTTCAGTGATACACAAGAAACGAAATAATAAACAGAGGCGTGCTTCATCAAAAGAAAAAAAGGCTAAAGAGGCTTGAAAAAATTTACGCTCCCAAAATGAAGCTATACAGGTGAATTGGTATTACTAACATCTAAAAGGCACTGGTGCGAATCCCTTCGAAACATAATTTTTTACTTAATTCTTTTTAATAGCAGCTCGCCTACGTGGATTATTTCTTTACTTCTTCAATATTTTATTTTATTGGCCGGACAACTCAACTGAGCTATTTTTCTGACTGTAAAAGCAGCTTCATTTGCACAGCAGCAAAAATACTTTTTATCCTGGATCTTCAGTTTTAGTTTTTGTTTTAATTTTTTTATCATTATAGTCTTTTTCTCTATTCAAGATCGCACCTGGTCCGTTCCCAGCCGTCTTGAGTGACGCTCGCCGTGAAGAAGCGGAGGAGCGCAAAGCTCGATGGGTAACTTTCTATCATCATTAACATTAACAGCTTGTAGACAAATAGAAGTCATTTACCAAAAAATTTATCTAAAGTATAGTTCGCACGAACATATACATAAATCTTTGCCACTTTCGTGTAGTTTTCATGAGTATATCCTTTCGGCGTTATGGGAATACTTTTCGATTTAAACTCAACAATCTACAATCTGAAAGCGAGGCTTGCAAATCAGACGTTAACATATACGTATTATGATATCTTTTTTTAGAGTGATAACCAGAAGAAGGCTATAAAAGGCAGAAAAACATGTGGGCTGAGAGTTTTTAACACCGACACGTTCTAAATCTTATTGTTATCTTATCTTACGTTTGAAAGCTGCCACGAACGAATATTTCTAAAGTAGCAGATGAAAACATTCGGCTATAATCAGCCAACTGACCGACAGATTGACTGACTCACCAACGAGCAACTGACTGACTTCTTGACTGAGTGAATGGTTGACTGTCTAACTGACTGACTCACTTACTGAAGGTAAATCACCATATTGTACGCCACAAAAACTCTTTCAGCCATAATTTATCTCAGTCCAACACTCATCAGTCTGATGCTTCGCGGCCGATGTCCGTTGACGTTAAAGGCGACTCCGGCATAATTTGGACTAGTGGACGCTGATCGGAAGTAAGGAGTGAGCAGATCACCACACCAATGATTGCACCTCTTATAATAGTTTGTATAACCGGATATGAAAAAGCCAGAGTAGAAGCTGTGGTCACAAATAAGAAGCTGGTACTCATGACTTGTGGTAGCTACACCTCCACCGAGCCACAGGCCGGAGATTTGTGTCTGGTAATTTCCCTTTGCGACAAGGCTGGAACTAAGTTTATAGGTAAAGAAAGCCTTTTCATTCGTAGTCTCGTCCACAAAGAGAATTTCACGAAATTGCAAGCAAAAAACCAACAAAAGAAAAAAAACAAAAAACAGTGGCTGTGTTGGTTAAGAGAACAAGAACAAGTAGATTAAGAATCTTCAGACTGAAATTTGATGAAAAAGGCACCATTCAAACAAGAAATAGTTCAGCATTCCAAAAAAGAACAGGTTCTTATTTTGAAAATGTGGTCATCAAATTTTGGAAACAGTGACTCGTGTTCAAATTATGAGTGATAGACAATATGAAGCACAGTACAGAAGTTACTGACATTCCTGGAGTAAATTTGGCATTTCAGCGGGGATCACTATGAGTCCTCATTAGACTCATCAATAAGTATAGAGTGTAAGTACAGAGTAGGTCCAAACCCTAAGTTTAGCATAAATAAATTAAAACTGTAATAAAATAATAAAATTGAAAAGACGAAATATTTCTAGAAAAAAAAAAAAAAGATTTAGAACCTCTTAAGAATAACATTAAGTCAAGTGAGTGTTTGTAAACTATTTATCAGGCTGATTACTCATTATGGCGCCTGAAATATGACAACACATAAGCCAGGATTTGCAAAACATCGTTAATCCTCAAAGTAAAACTCTTGCAAAATTTAACATCGCACGACATCTTAACCTCTCTTAATCACCTGAACTTCATTGCAGTCAGTTCGGTAACCATCTGTACCATAGGGATAATTCTCGTCATAGGTCACTTCTGTTTTAGGGTCAGCAAGATCGTCAGTAGAGTAACACATCGTCCATCCTCCTCCAAATGACGTCATATCACAATACGCCCAGAATTTGCTGTTCCCGATGTTCGGTTGTATTTCGTACATCCCATCTGGAGCACTCGGGAATGTGGTCTTGATCTCCTTGCAATCTGTTCCTTTCAAAGAGAGAGAGAGAAAAAAAAAAGTTAGATACCAGGCCTCGTTATTAGCGATATAGGACACGCTTTTCCCCGCCCATGGGAAGATTTGAGACGAGTCGGGATGAGGTTAGCCCGGAGGTCTGACATTATCAGTGTTATTATTGTCATTAAAATTTATGTAATCACGGGCAATTCACCAGCTATTTACAAAGGATTAAAAGCTGTTAACTATTAATTATACTAATTACACTATATCACCGAGCATTAGAGAGCTTTATTGATTTCTCGTTTGAACGACTCGAGTGATTCCGCGCATCCAGCCTCGCAAGGGAGGCTATTCCACAATGTGGCGCCACTACAACTAAACTATTTTTGAATGAATTTGTTGGTGGTATTCGAACATTAAGTTTGTTCTCAAAGTAGCTCAGGTTGTAGCTTCTATTGCGTTTAAAATGAAGTCCCTTACAGACCTCCCGCCGGCTCGCGTTGCTTAAGGCATCATACTTTCTCGCGAACGTTTCCCATTAGCTTACCTGTCATAAGCTGGCAGACTCCTACGCCATCGAATACACCGCTGACACAATTGCACACATACGAGCCCGCGGTGTTAACGCACTCCTCGTTCACCGGACAGTTGAACTGGTTGGTTTCACACTCGTCTATGTCTGTAGCAACGAGCGACTTTCAAATGAGTGACGGGGAAAATCAGCTCAGGGAGGTCAGTTAGGTCAAGCATGGAAAGTGATTCTGAGTTGCTTGAATTTTCTTTACCTCGTTGATTGGTCATAAATTCTCGCTCTATCCTCTCAATCAGCTCATACAATCAATGCAAAACCAAAAAAAAATCACGTCTTAATTCATGAGATGACACTAAATTGTTTGGTTTGCTTATTAACATACCCGTTTCACAGCTGTTCCCGGTAAATCCTGGTGGACACAGACACTGGAAAGTTGTCTCCGTGAAGGAAACACATGTGGTGTTATCAGGGCAAGGACTTGACGAACAACGACTCTAACCAAGAAATAAATGAAGTATCCGTTATTCTGGCAGAGAAATCATGAACAGTCGCCAAAACTTGAAAATGAAGTGGGCAAAACTTTGGATATTCAAATAACGGCGTAATTCTCGGCAAAAATAAGAGTTAAGTGAGTGTGCCCGATACAAAGAAATTGCAGTATGTCGCATTTAATCCCAAAAGACCAAAAGATATATTGTTTGTTAAATACATCAGCAAAGATTTCGAAAACTTATCGATGACACCTGCTAACTGATTAGAATCTTGCCAAAGAGGATAAATTTTTTGTTCCCTGAATTTAGCAGAACCCTATGCAATTTTTTTTTAAGTCAGCTACACGACATATTTATTTTACATAAATTAAAACTGATGAGACTTCATTTTCAAAATTAAACTTGTACTTTGTGGTTAAAAACATGCATATGTAGATGTTTTCCTCGATGTGCGGTGAGGATATTTAACTCAAAATGAGGAGTTATTATTTGGTCTCCATTCTCCCCTCTCCAACATTGTTTTCAAACGAAGCTATTATAGTTCGAAACCTTTAATCGGAAATCTTATTTTCTCCTAATGTAAATAACCTTCATTCTCACGAGAAAAGCTTTGTTAATTTGGCCTCATTCTGAGAGTAAGGTGTTTTGGAACTCAGGAATGGCCCATTACATTGTATACCTCAGTTGGTCTGTACATGTACATGTACATGTACCCTGTCATAGGAACCAAATCAGTAGGGTCTCGAATGTGATTCGATTTGCATTGAGCTCACATTGATGTCCATGAGCCTGTTTGGGTCCAACGTTATAGGAGAGACACATGAGGTTGTGGTAACAAGCAATCTCACAATGGTCATCTGTCTCTACTGGTATCGTTTTGATCACGTGACCAATAAGGGCTTTATCAGGAATGCCTTGTAAGAAATGTACTTGTCGGCAGACATCTGGAAATACAACAAGAAGTAATATGAGATTTTTTTCAGATATGGTTTGCGGGGGTTTTTCAATAATATTTTCCACAGGCGTCTGCCGATGGTGTGCCCGGAGAGGGCCGTAAGGCGAAACTCAAACACGAATGCCTGGTTGTAGGTTAAACAGACTGCGGTAAGGGTTCGTAATGGCGGCAGTAGAACATCGGTAGCGGCTTTTTATGAAAACATTCTGTCTGAAATTATTAGTTTATCAGGTAAGAGTAAATGGTTATATTAATATGAGCGAGGAAACGTTGTCATCTACCACTGTATATTAAACTCAAGTCACTGAGCTAAGCTTAATTTTCCCCACCATCTTTGCGACAACTTTTCAAAATCATTTGTTCAAAGTTGAACAACACTTTATCAAGAATGAATTACTTATAAAATCAAAAGCGTGAAGGGAGAAGATGCAAGCGCATTTTTCTAAAAACAACAACTTTGGGGGAACTCTCAGCACTGAAAGAAACACATTTACGCTAGCGCTTTTCTTTTCCACCATAATGCAACAAAGTCATCTTTGAAATACATTTTTTTCCATTCACAGCGTTCCCTTTTGATGAGTGTCAGCTGCAACATTCAAAAACCACCGTCCATTTCATTCCTTCCGTGTTGAATCGATCCGAAATAACTCCTCATTTTGAGTTAAATATCCTCACCGCACATCGAGGAAAACATCTACATATGCATGTTTTTAACCACAAAGTATCATATTTAATTCCATAACCTCCGACCAAGAGGTGTTTCGAGAGACACCTGATTAGCAGGAAATCACTTTTAGCAGCAGAACTGAGCGGTAAGGAGTAATGATAAAGTTTGTCAAATATTTTCGATGGAGATTAATTGTCTCAGTTGCTGCTAAAGGTGTACAAGCTTTGATAATCATGATATCTATATCCGTTTCAGATTGCGAAATTAACTTGAAAGTTTTCATTCTATAACTATTTCCACCTTCATATTACCACCTCCCCCTCCGAAGTCTTGCGAGGTCTGAATTTAGTTAGGAATCGAAAAAGTTGCAAATTTCCATTAACTTTTTTATGTATTATTGTATCAGGAAGAAAATAAAGCGAGTATAGACTCAGTTATTTCATTTATTATTGTTGATACTAAGTGTTAACCTTAACATTTTAACATGGAAGTCATAGCAGGAAAAATAATAGTTCAGGCGCATAATACGAGCTGTACCTATTCCGGTCTATTGATCGTAAACACAACTAATATTTCGACAGCATTTACCATGAATTAGTAATGAAAAGTAAATTATCAGTCCTCGATATATAAAGTATCTTTATCTTCAAACATCTTTCCGAGTCGCTGCTAAGTGTTGCGAGATTAGTGGAATAAAACAACGGAAATTCCTTCTATCAGCTGAAGTACTTACAAGTGATAAAATGTTGTCGATAGTCTTCTGAAATATTTTTAGTTATGTTTTATTTTCAGTGCTTAAATCTTCGTGCAATTATAGTTAGCAGGAGATCGATCTGAAACACCTGATGTGTCTGACTAAACTCTCATCGAGAGAACAACTTTCCGTCTCTACCATTACTTAAGACTGCTTATCGCTACCCTCGAGATGGATAACTAAAACGTAAGCAGAACTGCGAACGAGAAAATGATGCTTTGAGGGGACACAACTTTCTTAGGTTTCAACCTTGGAGACAAGGTAAAGTATGAATGTTTTTTTTTTCTTTTTCATATTATGCTCTCTAACTTTAATTGATTAATTTGAGAGACTTACCGACACCTCCGACAATCACGAAATGAACTGCGAACATAATGTGATGTAATAAAGCGAAGGCGAGAGACATGTTGTTGAGATGGTACTTTGCTGTCAAGTTTCCAGTTTAGATTTAAAGAAGAGTTGGGAAAACCCGATAGCTTAACGATCCAATGCGAGGCCAGCTTAACACTCCAAAGCGAGGCAACCATATGTCTTGTTAAGACGTTACTATGGAAACCGTCGCTACTGCTAAATACTACAGGTTTACGCCAAACTTGAATGCGCGTTTAATAACTCCCAGATAGACAAATGTAAAGATGGAAGATGTGCAAATGTATAAACGTGTAGACGTGATTCGACTGAAAATTAATAATCAATACAAATATCAAAGTACAAATATGATAACGTCAAGAATAACGACAAGAGTAAAAACAAAGCTACATGAAAAATAAATGAACTTAGAATTTGTGGCATAACCAAGTCCGATAGGAAAAACTCTCCGAAAAAAGTACCACGGCGCTAGCAAAAACCAACGGAACGACCGCCCTAGTTGAGGTCAACTAGCGAATGAAAAATCTAGCAAAAACAACGCTTGTACAGGCTACCAACGTTACAAAAAGCTTACGAACATTATTGAGAGAAAAAAAGGTAACCATGTTGTCTCCACTGGACAAATATGATGATAGGTAAACAACGAGCTGTTTCACGGATCGTTTGACGGTTGACCGGGGGAACCACAACCACAGTGATTTACATGAACCAGAATGATTCTAGAAGTAATTACAATTTGCCATGCACTGATGTCGCCAATGATACTTTGATCTTCGAATGATACACAAGAAAAGAAATAATATACAGCTTCATTAAAAGAAAAAAACGTTAAAGAAGCTTAAAGAAATTTACGCTCCCAACACGAAGCTATACAGATGAATTGGTATTACTAACATCTGAAAGGCACTAGTGCGAATTCCCGTCGAAATCACTTCAATCAATTTCACTCATAGCAGTTCGCCTACGGGGATCATTTCTTTACTTCTTTAATGTTTTATTTTGTCCGCCTGTCAACTGAACTAACCTGTTTTTAAGACTTAAAAGGAAGCTTTATTTGCACAACCGCAAACAGTGCTTTTCACATTAAGTTTTTATTTTTGCTTTCATTTTTTTTCCTTATTATTACTTGGGTATTTTTCTCTATTGAAGAGTGCACCTGGCCCATTCCCAGCCATCTTGAGTGACGCTCACCATGAAGAAGTTGGGGAGCACAAAGCACGATGGATACCTTTCTATCACCATCATCAATCGCTCGTATACAAATAGAAATCATTTACCGAAATATTTACCCTAAACATCGTTTTCACAAAAATGTACACAAGTCTTTATCACTTTCTTGCTGTTTTTATAAGTATATTCTTTGATTTCAGACTTAGGGGAATATTTTTCAATTCAAACTCAACAGTCTACAAACTGAAAGGGAGGCTTGGAGGCCAAGGAACAAAACTTGACGTAAACATGCACGTATTATGATATCCGTCCTTTTTTAGAGTTACCATCAGAAGACGGCTATAGATGGCCAAAAGACATGTGGTTTAAGAGTTTTTAACACTGATTCGTCTAAATCATCATCATTTTGCGTTTGAAAGCTGCCACGAATGAATATTTTGAAAGTAGCAGATAACAACATTCGGCTATAATCGGACTAACTGACCGACAGACCGACTGACTGACTGACTGACCAACGATCAACTGACTGACTGACTTACTGAAGGTATAACACCATGTTGTACGCCACAAAAACTCTTTAAGCCATAATTTATCTCAGTCCAACACTAATCAGTCTGCTGCTTCGCGGCCGATGTCCATTGACGTTAAAGGCGACTCCAGCATAACCTGAATGAGTGGACGCTGACCGGAAGTAAGGGGTGTGTGTATCACTACACCAACTATTGCACCTCTTATAACAGTTTGTATAACCGGATATGAAAAAGCCAGAGTAGAAGCTGTGGTCACAGATAAGAAGCTGGTATTCATGACTTGTGGTAGCTACACCTCCACCTAGCCACAGGCCGGAGATTTGTGTCTGGTAATTTCCCTCTGCGACGAGACTGGAATTAAGTTTATAGGTAAAGAAAGCCTTTTCATTCGTGGTCTCATCCACGAAGAGAATTTCCCGAAACTGCAAGCAAAAAAAAAGAAAAAACAGACAGGAAAAGACTGTCGTGTCGAATAAGATTACTAGGTTAAGAGAGCAAGAACAAATAGATTTAGAATCTTCGGACTGAAACTTGATGAAAAAAGCACCATTCTGGTGATAAGAAATAGTTTAGCATTCCAAAAAAAAAAACAGTCTCTAATTTTGAAAATGTAGACATCAAATTTAAGAAACAGTGACTCATGTTCAAATTATGAGTGCCAGACCAAATGAAGCACAGTACAGAGGGTACTGAAATTCTTGTAGTAAATTTGGCATTCTAGCGGGGATCACTGACAGTTCTCATCTATAGTAGGATACAGAGTGGGTTAAAACCTAAATGTAGAATAAAAACGATAAAACACCTAGTGAAAATATAAAATATTTCCAGAAAATTATAACATCAGGATAAAGTAAAATCAGGGCAAGAGAGTGTTTATAAGCTATTTATCAGGCTGATTACTCATTATGGCGCCTGAAATATGACAAACACATAAGCCAGGATTTGCCAAACATCGTTAATCCTCAAAATTAAACTCTTGCACCTCAACCTCTCTTAATCACCTGAACATTATTGCAGTCAGTTCGGTAACCATCTGCACCATAGGGATAATTCTCGTCATAGGTCACTTCTGTTTTAGGGTCAGCAAGATCGTCAGTAGAGTAACACATCGTCCATCCTCCTCCAAATGACGTCATATCACAATACGCCCAGAATTTGCTGTTCCCGATGTTCGGTTGTATTTCGTACATCCCATCTGGAGCACTCGGGACTGTGGTCTTGATCTCCTTGCAATCAGTTCCTTTCAAAGAGAGAGAGAGAGAAAAAAAAAAAAAGAAGTTAGATACCAGGCCTCGTTATTAGCGATATAGGGCACGCTTTTTTCCGCCGTGGGAAGATTTGAAACGAGTCGGGATGAGTTTAGCCGGAGGTCTGATATTATCAGTGTTATTATTGTCCTTAAAATTTGTGTAATCACGAGCAGTTCACCAGCTATTGACAAAGGATTAAAAACTATTGACTACTAATTATATTACTTACTTTATATTACTGCTTTCCATAAATATTGTGCCTTAGAGAACTTTGTTGATTTCTCGTTTGAACGACCCGAGGGGTTCCGCGCAACCAGCCGCGCAAGGGAGGCTATTCCACAATATGGCGCCACTACAACTAAAACTATTTTTTAATGAGTTTGTTGGTGGTATTCAAACATTAAGTTTGTTCTCGGAGTTACTCAAGTTGTAGCTTGTATTGAAATCCTGTACAGACCTCCCGCCGGCTCGCGTTGCTTAAGGTATCATACTTTCTCGCGGACGTTTCTCATTAGCTTACCTGTCATGAGTTGGCAGACTCCTACGCCATCGAACACACCGCTGACACAATTGCATACATATGAGCCTGCGGTGTTAACGCACTCCTCGTTCACCGGGCAGTTGAACTGGTTGACTTCACACTCGTCTATGTCTGTAGCAAAAAGTGACTTTCAAATGAATGAATGAATGAATCCTCTAAATCAATTCACGCTATCAGATACAAAACTAAAAACAATCGCGTCTTAATTTATGAGGTGACACCACATTGCTTGGTTGCTTAACATACCCGTTTCACAGCTGTTCCCGGTAAATCCTGTTGGACACAGACACTGGAAAGTTGTCTCCGTGAGAGAAAGACATGTGGCGTTATCAGTGCAAGGACTTAACGAACAACGACTCTAACCAAGAAATAAATAAATTATCTGTCACGTTATTCTGGCAGAGAAATCACGAACAGTTGCCAAAACTTGAAAATGAAGTGGGAAAAACTTTGGAGATTCAAATAATGGCGTAATTTCGGGCAAAAGAGTTAACTGAGTGTGCCCGATACAAAGAATTACAGTATGTCGCATTTAATCCCAAAAGGCGAAAAGAAACATTTCTTTAAATACATCAGGAAAGATTTTGAAAACTTATCAATGACAGCTGCTAACTAAAATCTTGCCAAAGATAATAAATTTGTTCCCTGAATTTGGTGAAACCCTACGCAATTTCTTTTTTTTTTAAGTCAGCTACACGGCATAATTATTTTAGATAAATTAAAGTTAGATGTTCAGTGAACATTAGTCTCCATTCTCCCTCTCTCTAACATTGCTTTGAAACGAGGCTATTATCGTGCGACATCTTTGGGCGGAAATCATATTCTCTCCTACTGTAAATAACCTTCATTCTTACGACAAAAGCTTTGCCAATTTGGCCTCATTCTGAGAGAGAGGCCTTTTTGAAACTCAGGAATGGCCCATTACATTGTGTACCTCAGTTGGTCTGTATATGTACCCTGCCATAGGAACTAAATCAGCAGGGTTTTGGATGTGATCCGATTTGCTGAGCTCACATTGATGTCCATGAGCCTGTTTGGGTCCTATGTTATAGGAGAGACACATGAGGTCGCGATAACAAGCAATCTCACAATGGTCATCTGTCTCCACTGGTATCGTTTTGATCATGTGACCAATAAGGGCTTTATTGGCAATGCCCTGTAAGAAATGCACGTGTCTGCAGACATCTGTAAATAAAACAAGAAGTATCATGAGATTTTTTTCAAATATGGTTTGCAGAGGTTTTCAATAGGCGTCTGCCGATGGTGTAATAGGATGCAGTGCCCGGAGAGGGGCCGTAAGACGAAAATTAACAACTGATGCCTGCTTGCAGGCTTCCCCACAATCTTTGCGAAAACTTTTCAAAATCATTTGTTTAAAGCCGAACAACACTTTATGAGGATGAATTACTTAAAAAGTCAAATGCATAAAAAGTGGGAAGATGCAAGCGCATTTCTTCAAAAACAGCAACTTTAGGGGAACTCTCAGGTCTGAAAGAGACATATTTACGCTTTCCTTGCAACTTTTCTACCATAACGCAACAAATTAATCTTTTAATTACTTTTTCATTCACAACGCTTCCTTGTGATGAGTGCCGGCAGCAACAATCAAAAAACACCTTCCAGTTTCTTCCTACCGTGTTATAACGATCCGAAATAATTTCTCATTTTGAGTTGAATATCCTTACCGCACATTAAAGGAAACATTTGAGTTTGTGTGTTTTTGACCGCAAATTATCATACTTCATCCTACACCTGACCAAGAGATGCTTCGAGAGACCCCTAATTAGCATGAATCATAAATCACTTTTGCCGATAGATGTATTTTACGCAAACATTTGTTTTTCAAACTCAACTTAATTGGCTTTTCTTTCGGTTTGCCTTTGTCAAAAACAACAACAACAAAAAATTGCGAAACCTTGAGCTCACAAAAACTAGTTTAGTGAATTGCTGTAGGTTTTTTTTTTCTGAAAAAAAAAAAAAATTCAGGCCTGTACGGGATTTGAAACCATGACCTCCGGTGGAGCAGTGCTCTACCGGCTGATTCAACAAGCCAACCGAGAGCTGGTCCATTATTCAGGCCTGAATGTTTTTTTCAGGCTTTAGTTTATTACTGCTGAAGTAGTATTCGTTCATGCGAAGATTGCTTTCATATTCACGTCTTCATCTGCACTTTAGCTATATGATTTTCATATAATCACAGTTACTTAACTCAAATATGCCGGTGAACACACCTAATCGATTTTATGTAAAGGTTTACATTCATTTCTACCGCGCAAGAAATTTCACCCTAATCATTTCCACCACATACTTCTCCTGTGAGCTCAGTTCTTGCCTGCAAGAAAGTGCCACGTCAGATTTCTTTTTTTATGCAGCAGAACTGGTAAGATAAGTGGTAAGGGTAATAATAAAGTTTGTCGAATATTTCCAAATGCGTTAATTAATTATCTCAGTTTCTGCCAAAGGAGTAAAATTGTGACATATATATGTTTCATATCTCGAAATTTAAAGTTTTCGTGAGTATATTTAGCCTTAATGATTGCGTTTATCGTTGTTAGCAATAAGTGTTAGCCATAATATTTAAACGTGGAAAGTCATTATGGGAAAATTAATAGCTCAGGCTCATAATTCGAGCTGTAAAACTATTCCGGTCTCTTAGTCGTAAACACAACTAAGAATTCAACAGCATTTTGTATTACCATGAATTAGTAATGATTAGTTATGTATCAGTCCTCGATATGTAAAGCATCGTTATCTTCAAACATTGTACTAAGTCCCTTCTTAGTGTTGCGATATTAGTGGAGTAAAACAGCGGAAAATCCTTCCTATCAGCTGAAGTATTTACAAGTGATAAAATGTTGTCGATAGCCTTCCGAAATATTTTTACGCTTGTTGAATTTTTAGTGCTTGAATTTTCGCGCAAATTTTCATAAGTAGGAGATCTGAAACACCTGGTGTGTTTGACTAAACTCTCATCGTGAGAACAACTTCCCGTCTCTACCATCACTCAAACTGCTTATCGCTACCCTCGAGATGGATAACTAAACCGTAAGCAGAACTGCGAACGAGAAAATGATGCTTTGAGTGGAAAGAACTTTCTTAGGTTTCAACCTTGGAGACAAGTAAAGTATGAACGTTTCCTTTTTTCCTTTTTCGTATTATGCTCTCTAACTTTAATTAATTTTAGAGACTTACCGCTACCTCCGACAACCACGAAATGAACTGCGAACATAAGGTAATGTGATGAAGCTATGGCGAGAAACATGTTTTAGAGATGATACTTTGCTGTCAAGTTTCTAAATTAGATTTAAGGAAGAGTTGGGAAAGCCTGACAGCCAAACGATCCAATGACAGGCCAGCTTAAAACTCCAAAGCGAGGCAGCCTTACGTCTTGTTATGTCGTTACTATGGAAACCATCCCCCCAATTTTTTTTTTAGACAAATAATTTAACTCAAAAACGCAAGAGGTTCTACGAAAGTCTTAACCAGCTTTGCCAGAAATCTTCGAAAAAGGCTGTCTGCAAACGTGACTCAAATCTAAACTTAACCAAATAATATTTATTTTGATTTGATTTAAAACGGCTTTCTCCTAATATCACCCACCACATTAAATATTGAATATTTATGTCCTTATGCAATTATCACGATCCTTTTTGTATTGTGGTGACATTTGCAGCGGACATTTGTTTGTGATGTTTGCACGAGGCTCTTGAATGGTGGTTTTGCGTAGTCCTCACTTGGCCGCACGAATTCTAAGTACCACTTACAATGGTCAAAGTCAAAAGTTAATAATTTTACTGCTGTTAAACGGTTTTTTTTTACTAGATGTCCTCCTTGGTACCATTAGTTAGGGCAAGATGCAATATCTAGCATGCAGATATTTGGTTTTCTGTTAACCAATGGTTGAAGAACAAGGCACCAAGTTATTCCACACAATTTTATGTGGCAGCTGTGAAAATAACCCCAGAGAGTAGAGAGAGTAAAGTGCAGGAATTTATATAAAAATTCACGAGATCTACGAAGGAGACACAGCTTCGCTCTTGAGCAATTTTTCCAATTACCACTAAGAAAATAACCATTCATTGGTCACCTAGGAAATTCATATATGGGCGTTTCCCTTTGTAGCAAGAGTATTTTATAAAAGAAATACCTTATCGGATAGCCGTAGAGCAAATGCGTTTTAAACTCTTCTGTTTTAGTTAGTATCATAGTTCTTTTTCAATTGACCAGAAAAAAAAAAACAGCAGCATTTTGTCTTTTCATGTGCGTGTGTGTTTTATTGAATATTTATCGAATCAAAGGACTACTTGCAAATTTTTTTTGCTGTATTTGGTTTTTCCATATCAAGCTTGTCTATTTTGTTCATAGATTAGAGTTACAAGTGTATACCTTTGGCTCTTTGTATTTCATGTATACTTATAAGCCGTCCAACAGACGTTTGCAGTAAGTTTGTCTTTGGTTGAAATCAAACTGGAAATTGTCTTACCTTGTGTTACCCTCTGTGGGTTCACCTTGACGTAAAGCTGATTAAGAGTACTACATCTTCGATTTGTAGCTTTGGCCTAACGTCACCATTCAAAACTTGTGAATTTCCCTTGTCTCTTTTATGAGACTCAGCGGGCGCAGTAACAGCAAAAGTGGCTTCTACTGTGGTTATTGGGCAGAATAAGACTTTTTATTGAAACTGTTTGAAGTTTTTCATGGGTATATACTGCCATACAGCCTTGGAGATTCGTAAGAATAGATTTAGAATGACTTTGCTAGCATGACTGAACAAGATCACGTGTCTCACAGGATTCCGGCCTACGAATGTTGCATAGTTACACCAATAAGAGTGGATAGTCTGTGCATTACAGAATCAAGGAACATAATCGAATCATTACACTTTAGTCCGCGCGCACGCCCTGAACTCTGGCAAAGTAACTTATATTGATATTCCAAAATGGAATGACACGTTGTATTGTGTTTGTCAAGAGGTTCTAATCCATTATAATAGAGGGCCATTATACCATGTAGTTGTAGCTTCATTGCCAAACGCTAATGTGGCACACTATCAAAAGCCTAGAGATTCCTAGCTTTTGCGTTCTAATATGTAAGTGATTGTGATGACGGAGATTTGCCTCCAATATATGCATGTAATAATAATAAATGTGAACTGTTAATGTGAAACCACTTTTCATCACAGGGCTGACCGTTTCCCCTCGTAGTCGCTAAAATGTTGCGCTTTTGTTATCACTGAATTTCCGCTGTACACGTAACTGCTCAAATTTGACTTTGCGTTCTTCTTTAATTGTTTACTTTCTATGTTCAAATAAGTACAGTTAAATCGTTTCATAATTTCTTCACAAGTACCACTTGTTGTTAGTAATGGGCAGGACTTCGTTTCCTCCAATTCGTATATGTAATCACATGAGGCCAAGTACTATTAAGGATTAATTGCACGAGAGTTTTCAAAATTTTCCAAAATTTTGAAAACTCAAGTGCAATTAATCCTTAATAGTACGAGGTCTCATGGGATTACTTGTTTATCAATAAAGGGCAAAATTTATACGAAGGAAAATCACGCGCGCAGTCTATTTTTATCTGGGAAGCCTGTTTAGCGCTACGGCAAATCATCAATCAAATTGAACTGACCAATCGATTCAATGAAATTTTATTCTCCAAAACTGTGTCGTGATACACTGCCAAAAGTCTAGAAAACAAAGCTCATTTCAACAGAGCGTTTCTGCCAACAGAAAAACAACAAAGTGCTTTTAACTGAACAAGGTAATCATGCCCTCTCTTGATTACTAAAAATGCCCTCGATTAAGAAAAAATGCCCCCTCTCTCAACCAATCAGCGCTCAGTATTTTTGCCCTTTATTGATAAGGTCTGTAATCATATGAGTGATTAACAAAATTGGGCGACAGTGAGGTGGGAGTCTGATTTGTTGGTCACGAGTGGTCGTCCCTATGGTTTTTGTAATTAGTTCTTTGGTGGTGGATTTAGGGTAGACTTAGTATGATTGGCTGCTTTAACTGTCCGATTACAGGTGTCTGATTACAGCCAACTGTCCGATTACAACTGTACAGAATGATTAGTGAAAAATAAAGCAGCTAATTCACCAGTCACATCTGAGGAAATTGTAATGGTTATAAATAAAGGGGTAAGTTTCTAAGGAAACTGTGGTGCTGCGTCTGTGGGAGAGTATAACAGGGTAATTTGATATTATCAATTGGGTTGATAACGTAAATTGGCCAAATTTAATCAGGAGTTCCAAAGCTGACGTTTCGAGCGTTTGCCCCTCGTCAGAGCGAATGGCTAACGAAGGACTAACGCTCGAAACGTCGGCTTTGAAACTCTTAACGGCGGCCTATTTGCATTATCAACTCATAACCATTACAAATTACCTTATGTTGCAATTATGTAAATAAATTGTTCTGTTATCAGTGGTTCCGTTAGGTTATTCTTTTGAATAAAAATTGTTAGTTGTCTTAAAAAAGGGTATTCATTGTGTTAAAGTCATAACTATGTTGCTTTTCAGTTTTATTGATTTGTATCAGTTTCTGTTCTGCAGATTTGAATATTATTTTTATAAAAATTATTAATTGTCGTAAAAAAGAAAACCCGTTGTGTTTAAGACTAAACTATGTTGCTTTTCAGTTTTATTGAACTGTATATCAGTTTCTTTTCTGCAGATTTGAAAATTATTTTTACAAGAATTACTAGTTGTCGTAAGAAAGGATACACGTTGTGCTTAAGACTAAACTATGTTGCTTTTCAGTTTTATTGATTTGTGTTAGTTTCCGTTCTGCGGGTTTGATTCAATAAACTATGCCACTTTGTGCTATGTCAAGTCTCCTGCCGTAAAATTCCGAATACATAAACAAATGAAAAACTAAAAGTTAAAGTTTTTGTCAATTTTCAGCTATAACTAAACTCAATAGATTATGAATAATCTCTCGTCAAACTTCATTACGACGCTCTAATCTAATAACACCGAGTGATTCACGGCTAAAAGGGCGGCGTTCTTATGCGCGAATTTTGCGACGGAATTTCAGCTATTATTGGGTCTCAAGGGCATCAAGGCAACAGCTTAAAGTGTCTCGGAAACCAGTCAGCCACACATGCTTTGTCACTTTTCTTGATTGTTCTCAAACGGTGCAGGCAAATCAACATGCTCTCTAAGTTAGCTCGCAGATAGAAAGGATGGGTGGAATTCTTCAATTTTTGTTGTAGTTCTTCAAGCCTTAACCGAACAGACCGCCAAAGGCCTCCCTATCTCTCGATATGAAGATTTTTCTTTGCTCGACATGAAGCTAGCGATTGGAATAAGACGAGCTGTGACAGATCCTTAGCTGTGGCTTTAACCTTTAAATGCTAAAAAAATGGTTTCCCTCGACTGGTTGACATGTCAACGCGCACTGGAAGCAGATGTGTTCTTTTGGTCGCCGTCTGCGTCTCAATACCCTTTAATGATTCACTTACCTTCCAAACACAGCCATTCGAAAAGTCTGTGTTTCGCTGAGGATGTGAACCGAAGCTTACTGAGAAAACTATCTTCGGATACAACGTAAATGAACAGGACTTCTTAACTTCCATGGATGTTGGTCTTTCCACTCTTCTTAAGACATCTGAAAACTGTCGCGTTATCCCTCCCTAAGACTCCTATGAAATGACTTCAACAGATTTTCAGATGAAAAAATTTCAACGCATTTAAGAGAAGGTTTCTTTACTTTCAAATGACTTTGTAAGGTAAAATACTTATAACATATAAAAATTAGAAAAGAAGTTGTATATAGGTAAAATTGGTAGAGAGCTGGAAACCCGATTTAGAGAACACCGGGAGTAGTGGGAGTATAGCGGGCCTGACTGCCACTGGAGAGCATATCAAAAAACATCGTGATCACGAATTTTCCTCCGACAGCGTTACTGTCTTACCGCAAATCATTCCACCCTTCCGCATCGTGCTCACGAAATATTTCATCCCCTGGATGGACCCGTTTAAATTGCTAGATCCCTTAATTTTTCTTCTTTATATTCAATTCGCTAATTTTCGCACGGTAAGAGGCAACTTATCAAGGACTATTCACCTCTTCACTGTCAAAGTGCTATATCAAGTCCCAACGATATTACCTCAAGCAATAAACTCTTGAGAAAAGCAGAAGTAGTTACAATTTTCTTTTTCGATTCAATAAATAGAAAAAGAAAAATTGTACCTTTCGCTAACACCATATTTTTTCACTGTGATAACTTAACCATTCATAAGAAACTTTGAGATATGCAGTTGATCTATAATTAAAATGTTATTGTTATGAAATTCTGGCCACTATAAAAACGTACATGGCTGAAGATACTTTTCACACGACCATCACCAGACTGAAAGTGTTTATTCAAGCTTACTTGAAATTTAGGCTTCTTAGAGTCTCCTTCCAACTTTATCAGCCATTCGATTGTGTCGTGCAGTTTTTTTGCGATCTTTTGGCCTAATGAGACGTTAGCAAATTTCAATTCGGCTAAGAAATAATGCGAATTCGGTGTGAGTCATACATACACTTTGACTTACGTAACAAAGCTTTTTGTTCAATCTGAGTTTATCTAGGCGCCTTGATATGGACCAATTATGTCAGAATCTCTTTTGCTAGAAGAACCTATTGACCAGCTCAGGGCAGCAGAACTGTAATGATGGAGACAGGTGGTCAAGTCTTTTTCTTACAGAGAACATGGAAAATAGTAAATACAACCAGACGCGGTAGATTAGCCAGCCGAATAGTAGTGCATGTGTTCTGGAAAGGATGACATGAAATTAGTACAATAATGTGAACTTGAAGGTGCCCGTATAATGTGACGATAGGTTTTCGCGCCCAAGCTGGTACACGGAGATCTACTTCGAGTGAGCTTATACGGACGTCAAGGATAAGACAATCTTTGGTTCCACAGTACTTTTATTCTTGGTCAGGCCAACAAGCGACATGACCTCTAGCATACTCAAGTTTGTAATCATCAAATCTGTACAAGGTATTTGCTTAAGAACTAACTGGTGTGAAGTGCTATTGTCACACAAATCTCAATATTTCAATAAGGACACAAAGGAGCGGAAAAAGGTCTCTTTGAAGTTAAACGAAAACTACTTAAATATTCCATCTGTTTCTACGACGGAAAGAATCTCAAAATTAAAAAAGACGGATGCAATAAACTCTAGGCCATTAAAAATAGGAAACTTAGGTGCGAATTTACAGCTCTGGTATAGAAAACAATACCTGTCTTACTTGCAGCAGCGCAGCTTAGGAAATAAAAACGGAAAAGCAATTAAAAGTTTCTGCTTATCTATGCAAGGTTGGTTTGGAAACCATCGCATGAAAAGAAATTAAATTTACGAGTATAAACTCAGCTGCTAACTACCATGAAAACCAATGTTTCCAGAAAGACCATTAACAATTATATTTACCTTAAAAAACCATGTAATAAATAACAAAAGTGCCGACAAGCAGGTGCATATGATGAAAGCGAGTAACAACAAAAATCTATTCCAAAAGCTACTGTGGTTTTTGTACATTTTTTGATTTACTAAAACAAAAGGACTGGAAATGGTTAAATGTAAAAGTTTACGAATAAATATGTTCCGAATAACACACGCGGAAAAACCAGTAAATTTTCCGTAACAATAAAAAGCTCAGTTGAGGATTGTACGTGCTTTCCCTTCGGTCTTTGACTATGACTTCAGTAGAAAAACTCTAATTACTGCGATTGGAAGCAATTGTTCGTTCGACATGTCGCTGGAGGAAAGAACAGAAATTTAGAATCCATGCAGACTGAGCCAATTCTACTTTACGAGCAAGATTCTTTCCAGATCCTACCATCCTCGTAAAGATAGGGGCCTAAGTCCCATATAAATTGCTTATGTTCCTTTTTTTGTCGGCAAACTTTCCTCTCATCCTGCGTGCACTCGGTACATATGAACTGGCGAGTATCCCCCTGCCACGAATGAGCAAACGTGCAACGATCGATATCGTGAAGCTGGGAACTAGGATTTGTATGAGTGTTGCACTCCTTAGATTTAAACGCTCCAAGAACCCACGCCCCATGATGAAGCCTTCCTTTGTGATCAATCTCCTTTGGCCGAAATTTGCGCTTCTTTTGACCCTGTTTCCCCGTGACAGTTTTAAGTTTGCTGACTGTTTGGGACATAGACGGCTCAGCCACGGATGGATTGGTTTGACATCTTGCTGATTCCTGTCCTCCTTTATCTACCCCGTATTTAACGGCGGTTGCATACGAAGGTGAGGCTGTTTCGGCGGACACAATCTGAAATTCTGTAGCTGCAACTCCCGGAAGCGTCGCAGGAGAAGCTTCTGATTTTGCCTTAGAGGGCATGCTGGTAAGTACAACACGAGGTTCTTCCTTCATCAAGACTGAATTTCTCCGCGCACCGCTGACTGTTTGGGACATAGACGGCTCAGCCACGGATGGATTGGTTTGACATCTTGCTGATTCCGGTCCTCCTTTATCTACCCCGTATTTAACGGCGGTTGCATACGAAGGTGAGGCTGTTTCGGCGGACACAATCTGAAATTCTGTAGCTGCAACTCCCGGAAGCGTCGCAGGAGAAACTTCTGATTTTGCCTTAGAGGGCATGCTGGTAAGTACAACACGAGGTTCTTCCTTCATCAAGACTGAATTTCTCCGCGCACCGCCCTTTAAGTCAGTCGTTTTGTCGCCATCTTGATTAACGGTCAAAGAAACACTATTACGATTGGCGTTTGATCCTCCTGTCGACAGCTCATTCATCTGCTTCTTCTCCTCCAAGTTTCCATTCATAGCAGAATAAGTGTCTTCGTCTATTGGATCGAATGCATAGGGACCAGTCACGGAAAATCCAACATAAAACCATAAGTTGTCCCTGCTTGTCTTCGGGTAGAGCATATCGTCAAAGCGAAGCTTTATTCCATGATAAATAATGATACCCTTAGCTTCTTTTTGACCTCTTACACGCAAGAGTACGTCGGAGACTTCTTTGCTTCTCCAGAAATGAGTCTTGGTCTTCCACTTATTCTCCAGAGTGGGGAACCTTTGACTACTTACAATGGCGGAAAGGCCCTTTCCCTTTCCAAGGAAGTATTCAGCCCCCGAATACCGAACTTTCCAATTGGGTTTCTCTTGAGCAATCCGACGACATTCTTTAACAGATGCTAATGTTTTAAGATCATACGGTGCCAAACTGCCATTCGGTATGGGAAAATGGATCATGAAATTGAACAGGTGTGCCCAATGTGAGCCTGGAAACCTTTGTACCCAGTTTTGGACAACATCATCGAGCTCTTTCACCGGGGGTTTTTCCTCATTTCGCAGTCGAAGGCAGGCCCTCGAGAAAATCACTATGTCATCGTGACTCCCATGATCCTTCAAGCATACTGGCTTAAGAAGATGATAAATCGACGAAACTACTTCATCATCAAGGTTAGACCATCCACTGTACGATGTCTCGCGTCGCTTAAAAAGAGTATCTTGCACTATCTGAGGAATGAGGTCAGGTGCGTCTTTCAGGTCTGGCGACAAAGGCGATTCAACATCCACTAGCCTGCTTCTGTCAAATCCGGTAATCTCGTAGAATTGTCGCCGCAACTTGCAAGCTCTTATTCTTGCACTGCTTATAACACTCATTTCATTATCATCATACGTAGTTAACTGCCGGTATTTGACATCTCCAAAGAGTTTGTTCAGTAGGTCCAGAGTTGTCCGACTAAGACTCTGAACGTAGTTGTGGTCACCTGGTAAAAGTACTTCTTCCATCTCTTTAGGAATCTCTACACTCTCTAAATAACTTGAAAAAAGGCCACTGTCGAGAAGAAAGCATGGTAAGCCCTTCACAATTTTTAACAGCAATACGATCACTTGAATTTTCCCGATCATTGAGTAGTAGTTGGGGGACAGCATCATTTTGATTGCTTGATCATACACTTCCAGCGCCTTACGACATGTGTAGATGACATCGCGAAGGTGAGACACGAGATTTTTACCATCTTGATCGTTGTAATCTCTCAGTTGTAAGACGTAGAGAACGCCTTTTGTCACATAATGATGACTGTAGCTTGGTTGCTGGTTGATAGAAATATCAACTGCAATGTGCGCTGCTTCAATGCCAGTGTTGGGTCTAGATAATCTGACGTCTCCCACTTTACTTTCTTCCATGACACTGTAAAGGAGCTCATGCAGGTTATCGGTTCTTTTAAGTTCTTCAGACCGCATCTCATAGCCCATGAATCTTGCCAGCTGTTGCCAGGCGTATGCTTTATACTCAGTTTGGTTGGCCTTCTGGCAGGTCGTAGTAAGAAATTCTAAAGTTTTTCGATTGCCATCATCTTGTCCCTGTATGTCTAATATCAAGGGGGAGTACCTCGTGCGAACTTCATAAAACCCGAAGAGATCAGTTTCAATATCTGAACCAATAATGTCGTCATCTGTTCCTCCTATTTGCGAAAGGCAAACTGGTTCGGAAATTCTCTTCCGACTTAAGAAAATCTGAAATAGCTGCTGTCTCAAAAATTTGTTCACATAGGCCATTCCTCCCTCTGCGTTTTCCAAAAGTAGAAGAGCAATAACTTCAACATTCATTCTTGACTTGACAACTTCACTTACGAGGTAATGTGCAGGTTGCCAACCGTTATACCCATGGGTATCGTCGAATCCTTGAAGGAGAAGTCCTCCAAAAAGGTCATGAATGAGATCTTTTCTTTGATGCTTTTCCTCGCCATCATTGCTCTCTTTGATAAGCAAATCAACCACAAGGGGATGGGGCAGGATATAGCGACTAGTACTGTAGTAGTGAAGAAAGCAGCAGAAGTTGAGGACCTTTTCGTGTACTGAACGGGAACTTCCCAGGATAGCCAAAGTACTATTGACGTGATTCTTGAGCCGTTCCTCTATTTTGTCGTAATCTCTTCCAAAAAGCTCCAACCCAAACCAAATAAATCGCTTTTCGCGCTCAAGGACTTCTTCGCAATTCTTCCTCTTCTCGCTATCTTTTGTGATATTAATCAAGATGTTCTTCACAAGCTGCATTTCTGTCTCATCCAGTTGTTTCAGGGGCGTAATTTCAAAATCTGAATCAGGGACTGACTCTTCAATGGGAACGGTGGAGAGTATGACACATTTTGTCTCCATTGATGTTAGAACCTTCGACAAACGTTGAGTGTCGATCTGAGGAAAATTGTCGATAAGTACCAGAGCCGGAGGTGAATAATTACATTTCATCTTTTCGTAACCTTTACTTTGAAGTTCTCTGATTTGAAACTCGGTACTTGCTGTGATAGCCTTGACAACTGCACAACGGAAAACCTTCCGCTTTTTCCACAAAATTCTCCGACACAGAGTCGTTGCACCAGATCCCGGTTCGTAGGGGACAGTCACAGTCTGAACGTAGCAATTACGATCACCTCTTGCTTCTCTAAGGGAATTTAGGGCTTGGTCAATCTTTCGAGTTATTTCCTCCTCTAAGGTCCTCTCGATGCTGTGGTCATAAAACAGATTTACTTGGTTACACTGGCCACCTTTGTAAAAGGCATCTCTCACTTTTTCGATGTCCTCAGACAAACGAGGCAATCGATCCTGAGGCTCGGGATAGTAGACTTCAAGATCAACCCAGGAGTTGATAACTTTGTTGAGAATATCTTTAAGGCCAGTGATATGGGGAAGCTTTGTGGTAGCACCTTTTTCTTGAAACTCAAGAGGCCCGACCATCTCTTTAACAATTTCTTTTAGTAGATCCCACGATATCCCGGTGATGGAACATTCTCTAAGTTGTTTTCTCACCAGAGGCGACCTTGAAGCCTTGATAAAAGCATCAGCAACCAGTTTGTTTTCGCTTATAATGGTGACAGATTTGCTAGCAATCTCCTCACCAAGTATGCTGAAGCAGCTTTCTGCGATATCCGACATTTCGAGAACGGCATTTTCTGCAAATCCAAGAAAAACAAATATCAGTCGTCCAGAGGGAAAACTCTGCTTATAGGCAGTTAGGGCTCGGTACAAGCAGTCTTTTGAACATGTGATCCAGTCTTCCTCTTCCATTCTATCTGGCTGTTTTAAAATCCACGTGGTCCATCTCAACGAAAGGGGACAATCCTTGTCACCAATGGAACTTGGGGACACATCCTTAAAGTCGTGGAGGGTCTTGACGTTTGCACGCGCGCCGTCTCCCACCTCGTTGCAAGAGAAGTATAAGCCATCTTCTTTTGAGGTAGCATCGAACAGATCGAATACGGCCACCCAAGGAATGTTTTGCAAAAAGGATAACTTTGAAGTCCTTCTGTGCTCTGGAGGCAGCTTGTTGGCAACAAGAATATAGTGATACTCTTGAAAATTAAGGTCACGTAAACGCTCTCTGACTATCGTGCTGAACTTCTGGAGGTCACCATCATTAGTGTTCAGACCTGAAATCGATTATTGCGGCATTTTTGTTCAAAAAAATCTTTATTTGTTTATTATATATATATATATATATATATATATATATATATATATATATATATATACATATATATAGGAAGTCTGCAAGTCGATTTTCGCGTGGAACAGTGCTCAATACGTTGAAGCAGAGCAGAATAAATATTATGAGAGGAAAAAAGGACGCAACTACATTTGTACGAAATGTAACAACAAAATGTAGTTGCGTCCTTTTTTCCTCTCATAATATTATATATATATATATATATATATATATATATATGTGCGTGTGTGTGTGTGTGTGTTTTTTTTTTTGGGGGGGGGGGCTGATACAATATCAACTTAAGGGGGTACATGGTCTTATGAGCAATTTTCGCAACTGACGGGTATCCACAGAAATAAGTATGAGGACCTAAAAACTGATTTCAAAGGTAACAAGCGCAACTGATGATAATTTTTGATTCATTCTTTTCTTAGCGATTGAAGTAAATTACATTTACAAACTAGTGCACAAACAATGGCACTTTTGCACTTTGTGCGCTGTATCCTGCAATAAAGAGTCATGCACTTCCTAAGTTCGAAAACGAACAAAGAACACTTTTGCAAGACTACTTTTAACTGAGTCTCAAAGTGGCAGATTTAAAATCATTTATGCACGAAGCCAAATGTTACTACAGGTGTTTAGGCGAAGCCACTTACCATCAGAAGTTAAACCACTGACTCCTGAAAGGAGAAGAATGAAACAAGTTAAATGATGGACTGTACTTTTGCAGACCACAATCTGATCATCGGAAAACGTTAACTACTGCTACAAACCGCTGTCCTTTACCATTGCTTACATAGTGATGATAACAACCGCTATCCGATCAACAGATTGCGGGTCTCGGATAAGATTTGTAGCTTTTTTTGTCTTTTTTTTTTAACTATCTCAGGCTATCTCAAGAAATAACTTGCGTACCAGATTTGATATCCCGTTTCCATTCCTTGTACTTTTTAGTCAAGGGGTCTCGTATTTGCCATTTCACTTCATTTGGCTTAACACAGCAAGATGCGCCGTTGGTACGAATTGCAGCTTCCACACACTCGTCTTTTACTTTGAAAAAGTCTCGCAAGCCCGTTTTGCCAGTGCAGTCCCTGCTCTCTCTCTTTTCGCTCCAAACTTTGTAGTAGTATACATTTTCTTTACAATGAAGAAAGTTTCGAGCCACCTCGATTTCTATGACATAAAGATCAATTGAATTCTCCGTGCTCTTAACAGGGATGAAGTAGATATTGATACAATTTTGTTCCCCGCCTTTCTGAAGCGGCCTATCTTCGCTTTTTATGTGGTGGTCAAGAACATCTTGGAAGGCTGTTATGATATCGTCTTTCATTTTCTCAACGTTAAGTCCAATAATTTCTCCATGTTGGAACTTCGAGCCTTGTTCTTGAGAGTCTCCCACTCCAAAATATATTATACCTTTCCTATCAGCATTTAAGCAGCCACAAATGAACTTTTTTGCCTTCTCCATTACTTTCCATCTGAGTGACCAAGGGCTGGCACCTGCTAGAGACTTAAATTCTACCTCTCTGTCTTCATGACCATCTAAAACAGAGCCTTGTTGATAGAAGAAATCATCCTCTACTTTAGCTCCGAATTTCCTCCGTTTACCTGGAGCAAAGAAGAAAAAGAATTGTAAGAGTTAAGCAATCGTGTCATGCATCATCTTTCTTCCAATAAATACTCTTTACCGCCCGACGGGTATCTCGGGCAAAGCTTGCATTAGAGAGAAATTAGAATCTACCCAAAGTTTGTTTTTATTGACACAATACCTGGATGTCGATAACGCGGGCGAGCCACCGTGCCGAGAAACTGAAATAGATACTTTGGACGGATAGCTCTCTTCATGTTTAACACAATGAGCCATCGCTTTAAAGGTAAGGAGTTATTTTTTTCTTCCTGAGTCGGCCATAATCAGAAGATACACTTTAAACTACATTACAGCATCTACCATGTTATCAGTTGTCACTCTATTCTCATTTGATAGTCAAGTTAGACTGTGGTCTATATAGTGTGCAGTTTTAATGTATTAATAAGCCCTTTTCCTCTTCTCGACCCATCAACGTTTGAAACATTCTGGAAGAAGACTGCAGAATTTCAGCGATGAAACTAGCTTCAAATAACCAAAGGCTGGCAGCAAATCATTTTTTTCAAATTTGTTTCCTGGGCCTACTCACATTTTTGGGCCATCTCCTCTGATCTTACAGCTGCGATTTCATCTGCGTTACTCGTCTCTGTTGTTTCACCATGTTGTTGGATTGGCGGCAAATCGTCATTTTGTGGCATTGTTGAGTTCGAACCCACTGGTGCGGACGAAAAGGTAACAATAGCAGTATCTGCATAGTTGCTGCAAAGGCTCAATTTACCTGCAGCTTCTTGGATACTAGGGCTTAGTTTATCGGCAGATTGTGTTATGGTTGGCGTGGGTAAACTACTGATGATTTTATCAGATCCATTGGTCATTTCGATTTTCTCCAGCCTTGATTCCTCTAGCGTACTAAAACAATTGTCCTCTATCCCAAAACAGAGAAGAGAAATTTTGTATCAAACGATGATATAGAGTACAACCCCAAATAAGGAGCACAAAAAACAAATGTACCTTGTTATGAAAATACCATTACTGTTGTATAAAAAGAAATGTATAAATTATTCACAAAATATATCAATGAAAAGCTTCTATGCTAAAATCATATTAGTTTAAAATCACGTACCCTTCGAAAGAGCTTTCTGGCTCTCCTGTCCTTTGAATCGGTTCACGCTGTCTTGAGAATCACATACCATATCCTTTAGTTGATGGTTTTCAGGGATACCGCCAGTGATTCCATTTGGATGACAGTGGATATAAATACCATCTTTTTTGTTATGAAGCATGTTTTCTCCGGTCGATTTTGTGGAAAATACTCCTTCTTCGTCTATTTTCAGCGCTGGTTTGTCTTTTTCGGAGTTCTTTTCATCTTCTAAAGGTCTCTTTGTTTCTTGATTCACAAAATCTATGAATGTAAACGAGGATTTATGTTTCTTGCCACCTGCCCTATTACCCGATCGCCCAAAGAGGACCAGCAGTATGAAGTCGAAATGTTACGATTCACCTCAGAAACAAACTAATCGTGAGAGAAACAATGGCACTAAATTCACTGTGCTAGTGCCTTCATCACAATGAATAACCATAAAACTTTTGCATTTATTTGTATTCATCGCGTTTTTGCGAAATGAAGTCTTTGACCTGAATGGGCCTCGTGCTCGAATAGAAATGTACTATACTTCAATTAACTTCATTTCAGTTTTGATAGTCTCCCGACATAACTCCAGGGCATGTTGGTATCTAATAATTCATACCTTCTTCGTCTTATCACCTAACTCACACCGTAAGGGTACATTCAAATTCTTGTCAATCTCTTGCTTTAGATTTCAGCCAGGCGCTCAGCTTTAATTGATGCTTAAAACGGTCCCTTTTGACTTGAATTACCTCTAGAATCCATACCTTGATCGGGTTCCTCAGTTGTAGGTGGTTGGTCTGGACTATCTTCAATTGCCATTGAAGCATTGGCTGTTCTGAATAAATTCTTCACGCCTTCTTTGGTGCTCTGCTCTTCATTTCCACACATAACATACAAAGTAGTGTCATATGTCGTATTTTGGTGTTGATTTGTCCCTTCGCAAGAAACCAAATAAACACGTTAACCCAATAGTTACATTTCTTTCTATTTTTACCGGCTTGTTCTTTTAAGCGAGCGATATATATTGGCTGGTTAATTGACTTATATCTTTTGCAACGTTTTGCTAATGACACTGAAGTTCATCATGTATGATTCGTGTTAACTGTAGAAGCATTTTAGGCTTGCTTGTAGATAATGAATCCTTAGGGGGCTACTATGCTATTTAGGATTTTGTAAGTTATGCGACATAGGGTAAAATATGGACTGAACCATTTTTTGGACCATTTTATGGGGGGGAAGCACACCATTAGTATTCAGGGAGGGGTGGGATGCAGTCTACTAGTACTTAGGGAGGGGTGGAAGGCAGAGTGTTATTACTCAGGGAGGGGTGAGAGAAGGACTATTGCTAGGCAGGGAGAGGTGAGAGGTGGATGTAATAGTAAACACTACTTGTTAATGGAGCTTTTACTCGATCGTACAAATTATCTTCATCGGTTTTTCGACTGACTTTTTGAATGTTCTTCATTTTTGTCGTCCTGCGAAAGCGAAACTGCCACGTGAACACTGGACTTTGATTTCTATTGAAAATATCGCGTTTTAGATCCTCTACTGTTGAGTTATGCCCGTGCCTTTTGAGTCGACATGTGTACCATCAGTTGCTTAACGTTTCCCTTTGTGTCTACAGTATGTAATTACTAAATTTATCTATCTTCCTTTTGTCATTCATCTTATCAGACGAGATCACGGAATTTCCGGTCCTTAGCCCATAACTTAGCAGCATATGGAATTCACGAGCGCTTTTGCAATTTCAACGTTTATACTTTTACTATATGAAATAATCAGCAAACGATTCCGAAGAGGAATCCATATTCTCGAATCGAGCAAAAGCACTGCTGTACTTGTAGTATGGGAAAGCGCAAATATCGATTTCATCTGTTTCGCAAACAAAGGAATTAATCACCAACACCGGAAATAGCGACCATGCATTCCTCGCAACTCCCTTACGTTTGTTTTCCAATTTGCTCGGGCCGCTGCCAATCACTTCTTGTGTAAAAATCTACGTAACCTGCCAAGTGGAAGTACGGTGGCTACTGTTGCTTGCCGATATTTTCCGTCGGCAAAACGTATAAGTCAGTAAATGTGACCAATTCTGTCCGGAAAATTTTATTGTCTGGAACTTGGATATGTCAGGAGAGTTTCATTGACAGCTGGATTAATTACACCCCATGTTGAGAAACCATTATGAAGACATCGCGCTTTACTTCGCTTTTTTTGTCACATACAAAAAGGTAAACGTAAGGCAACAGAAAGATGATTCACGCTAACCCGTCGGTATCACTTAGCACTGGCACAAATCGACCTAGCAGGGACGAATTTTGTCGGCGGTGCGTTTGAAAATTTATCCGCCTCAAAAAATTGTCGAGTCACGACAAACCATCCGCACCTGTAAAGTGTTGGTAATGACAAAAAATTTGTCTATATTAACAATTTTGTCGCTAGTGCGGATAGGTACATAGTCACATACAAAAAGGGAAACATGAGGCAACTGAAAGATGATTCACGAGTATCACTTAGCACTGGCACAAGTCGACCAAACAGGCACACGCATGACTTAACAGTGGAAGATGGCGATATTTTCAATAACAATTATAGTCCAGTGTTTAAGTGCCAGTTTCGCATTCGCATGACAAGAATGAAATAAACGCTACGACCCAGCACAAAAATTTTGACATACTAATGGTCGGTCGAAAAAGCGCTCAAAACAATTTGTATGATTCAATGAACACTCCATAATTAGTAGTAGTTACTCATACATAAACCTCCCACCCATCCCTGCGTACTGATAGTTCGTCCTCCACCCCTCCCTTAGTAACAACAGTCTGCCTACCAACCCTCCCTGAATGCTGATAGACTGCATCCCAACGACCCCTAAGTGCTAATGGTCAGCCTCCCCCCCCAAAAAAATGGTCCAAAAAATGGTCCAGTCCATATTTTACCCTCTGCCTAAGGGTGTAGGGTAAAATATGGACTATTTTTTTTATAGGGGGGGAGGCAGAACATTACTTCTTAGGGATGGGTGGGATGCAGGCTCTCAGTTCTCAGGGAGGGATGGTAGGCAGACTGTTGCTACTAGTGGAGAAAGAAGTACTAGTACACAGGGAGGGGTGGGAAGTTGATATACTGGTAACTGCTACTGATTTATGGAGTGTTCATTGAATCATGCAAATTATTTTGAGCGGCTTTTCGACTGATTATTTGTATGTCAAAATTTTGCGCTGGGCCGTAGCGTTTCTTTAATCTTTTGTAATGCGAATGCTAAACTGGCACTTAAACACTGGACTATAATTGTCATTGAAAATATCACCAATTCCATTCCTGTTTTCGATCCTCCACTATTAAGATATGCGTTGTGCCTGTTAGGTCGACTTGTGCCAATGCAAAGTGATACCGACGGGTTAGCATGAATCATCTTTCAGTTGCCTCACGTTTCCCTTTAGCATGTGACAAAAAAAGCGAAGGAAAGCACGATGTCTTTATAATGGTTTCACAACACGGGATGCAGTTAATCCAGCTGTCAATGAAACTCTCCTGACATATCCAAGCTCCAGATAATAAAATTTTCTGGGCAGAATCGGTCACATTTACTGACTTCTAGGTTTTGCCGACGGAAAATATCGGTAAGCAACAGTAGCCACTGTACTTCCACTTAGCAGGTTACGTAGGTTTTTACACAAGAAGTGATTGGCAGCGGCCCGAGCAAATTGGAAAACAAACGTACGAGAGTCGCGAGGAATGCCTAGTCGCTATTTCCGGAGTGGGTGATTAACTCCTTTGTTTGCGAAACAGATAAAATCGATATTTGCGCTTTCCCATCTTTCCCATATTACATGTAAAGCAGTGCTTTTGCACGGTACGATAATATGGATTCCTCTTAGAAATCGTTTGCAGATTATTTTATGTCCCAGTGTTTACGTGGCAGTTTCGCGTTCGCGTGACGACAAAAATGAAGAACATTCAAAAAGTTAGTCGAAAAACCGATGGAGATAATTTGTACGATCGAGTAAAAGCTCCATTAACAAGTAGTGTTTACTATTACATCCACCTCCCACCTCTCCCTGCCTAGCAATAGTCCTTCTCTCACCCCTCCCTGAGTAATAACACTCTGCCTTCAACCCCTCTGTACCAGTAGACTGCATCCCACCCCTCCCTGAGTACTAATGGTGTACTTCCCCCCTATAAAATGGTCCAAAAAATGGTCCAAAAAATAGTCCAAAAAATGGTCCAAAAAACGGTCCAAAAAATGGTCCAAAAAAATGGTCCAGTCGATATTTTACCCTATGCCGAGTTATGCAAGAGCCACTCGAAGGTGTCTCCTTCAACTTTGCTTTTGTGTTTATTCACTACTGTATTTTCCTTATGATGATGTAACACTCGCTGTATCCTGCATCAATAAACGAGATGCCCGTTCCTAATGCTGTGTTTGTGTTTATTAACATTAGTTACAAAATATTTCATAACCGCTTCAGTGTGATTAGAGTATAAGTTAACCTTTGTGTTACATTATCATATCGTGATCAGGAACTTACCAAACCGAAAATGTGTGATCTACATTTAGGGCACATGAGACAGGCTATTTTTACAGAATAAGTGCAGAACACTTAAGTACTTCAAAGCTGTATCACGCAAAAAGGCCAGCTTAGAGAAGATGTAGCCGCTTGGTCAAGTTACGCGCGGATACGCGACTACGCGCAAGCGCGGATCTTCACGACGAAAGCCCATGAGGACAAAAGTGAAGCCATTGTCATGTTTATCAATGAAGTGGCACGTCTCCTTTTCAGGAATGGCTATTAATCAAGTACTTAGCGAGTAATCAAGAACTTAGCGGTCGATGAGTAAAGCTGTTAGTTTCAGTCTCAGGAAGCAGTTGTGCTTCACTAAAGGGCAAGTGAAATATTTCGTGGATAATCAACTGGGAGTTGATAAAAGATTAAAAAACCAACCTAAAGAAACCTTTGGAAAGCTGATGCTTTTAAGGTTAGCCTTTTGTTAGAGCATAGTCTTGGTAGCTGGTGGTTTTGTGGGCGCTTTGAAGAATTGAGCAACGCAAGCGTAAAAACGAAAATTTAAACTTCCAGAGGGTTGGGTTGAAAAATAGTAGAGGAAATCTTTTTACACTCGAAACTTCGCTGCTCTCTTTTGGGTCCCCGTCGCCATAACTTTCATCAAGTGCAAAAAGAAAAAAAAAACGCCAGCTACGCAGGCTATTGGATCGTTTGGACCTCATCAGCTGATTGAGACTCGCAGCATGCGGTCGAAATTTTGCAGTCTACATAGGAAGTGACTACATCGGAGACAAGTAATAAACATTCCATAATTATTACGAAGTCAAAATCCTGTTCTTTTGACAGTGCTTGCCCAAAGTTCTATGTCGGTGGGTGTAGGTAGAGATAGCGTAAACAATAGTTGAGATTTTGAGGCCTTTCTAACGAGTCTAGAAAATAGTTCTACAGCTGTCCAAAAGCTCTTTCATGCTGGTTGTCATGTGCTTTAATTTATTATTAGTTTCTTTTATTTTTTCGAGCGTCTTATTTTCTGCGTGATTATCATCATTGCCAGAACCTTCGATAAGGACATCTACATTTAAAGTAGAAGCTTCGATAAAAATCCAAAAGCAAGAGCAAACCGTGTCATATCAAGCCAAAAGGTTGATAAAGTATAATAGTATCTTATGAGTAAGAGTTCCTAATATCATAATTTTGACATCAGCTATCAGGTGCAGAGGTCAAAATTATGTTATTAGTGCTAAGCAGTAGTAGTGGTATGAAAACACAATATGTAATAAAAAATTCCTCGTCGAAGCTCATTTTAAGGCCGTGAAATACGAAAATAAAAACTGGAAAAAAATCAAAAAGAGAAATATAAGCGTTGTCTCTCGATGTGGTCAGTTCAGATGTGGATCGTAGACCCCCGCCGTCGTATTAGAACAAACCAACAACACCGGACACCACGCACTCTAGAACGAAGTAAAGTAAAAGAAGCAATTCACTTTAAACTTCAATTTAACAACATCAACAGGGACAGTGGAATTGAAATCCGAGAAGTCTAGATGCAGACGATCAAAAAAACGCAACAGCAGGGAGCCGTGCGGCAGCGGACCACAGAGGGAAACGGATCAGAAAGATGCACCAATCACAGACGTGGAATTCCATCTAATAACGGCTGAGCACCACTTACTCGACCTCATCGCCGGAAGAAAACTAGCAGTGTGCAGTCGAAATATCGCAATCTACATCCGAAGTGACCACATTGTGAGACAAACGAGTATATTTCTCTTTTGAAGTGTTATTTACCGATGAATATACACAACCTATTTTTGGAAAAAACATTTTGATACTTAAATTCATCTTTACCAGGCTATTTTTGAAACATTCTGTGCGAATAACACCCTCTAAAGAGTATCCAGAGAGTTCCACAAATTTAGTAGCTTTCAAAAACATCCTATCATCAAAAAAATCTTTTTTGAAATACCTTCCTTAAAGACTTCAAAGCGCGCATCGGTCTTTGTGTTTTCGCACGCTTTCTGCTCCCCTGCATCCTGCTTGGATTTCAGCCACTGACTGGTTACAGACTCTTCAGTATCATTGGAAGGAGAGTCTTGAATAACAACTCCTTCTTTCATCATCAAAGTTTTAATGCTTAAATTCCTGTTCCCGTTCTGCACTTCGGAGATGTCATCTTTGTCTAAGGTTAAATTAGCACTCTTTTCTCGGTCCTCTGAAAAGACAAAATTATGCAGCCATGGTTGAGCCAGAAAAGCATCTAATTCACCTGATTGCAACCATGTTCTCTTTCTCCCTTAAAGCTAGAACCCAAAAGGCTATTCAATAGATAATGAAAGACTCAGGCCTAGTTCAGACGACGTACTTCTGCCGTGGCGAACTTAATTGCAATTAGATTCGGCTATAGCACGGCGGAACCACGGCTCTGATTCAGACGGAATTAAGTTCGGCACGTCAGAAGCACGGCGTCTGAACTGGGTCTCATTTAACTTTAGTTTACAGTTAATTAAATTGGGAAACAGAATGTAACTTTAAATTCTCCATAAGAATAAAACGATGAAATCTGGTTTCAGTTTATGCCACTAAATATTTCTAAGGTTAATCCTAAACTCACCACATCGGTGTATTTCAGGGCTCACAATCTTGCTTTCAGCCTTGACCCCTTTATTTATGTTAGAAGTTTTATCTTTCAATTGCTCCTTTTCCACATTTAATGAATTATCTGGAAATTCGAAAGAAACGTCTAAAGTTGGATTTGGTTCGCCCAAAGAAGAGTATGTTTCACACATGTCCTTCTTGTCATCGTGTGTTGATTCGCACTTGTAAAGTTCCGGACAACTGCTGGTCCTGTGGATGAAAACCTGTTCCTCCTCTTTACCTGCAAGGTATTGAATCTCATTTGGTATGTTAAAACTCTTACTTTCCTCAGTTTGATTTTTGGAGGCACGTTTACTACCCCAAGACCCGTCTTTTGCAACAATTTTCACAGTGCTTCCACCAATGTTTTTGCTTTCCTTTTGGCTATTGATTGACGTTGTTTCTGTCAAGGAAACGGTGGCCGAAAAAAATCATAACTAGTAGTATCTCACTCCAAAAGAAAAATGGTGTCCTGGAACTAAAGAAAAAACTAAAAAATCGTGAGTGTTAAAACTGCGAAACGTTCGGGAACTTAATCCCAAACAAATTACAAAACCTTCTAAAAGTCATTTGAGAACAACATAAAACACATTGTGCCTGCCAAGATACAGCGCATAACGTTTCGTGTTACTTCCCGGTCGAGATGGATCTTGTAGAGTTAAGAATGAAAGGTAAATATACTGGGGAATACAACCCTGGGTTAACCATGCTTCGATTCCCAAACGCGATACAAATCATGGCTGAAAAATAAAACTGAAATTTGCTGACTTCAAGTGATGCTCTACGACATTCAGACGACTCTATGGACCGGTAGATATCATTTTTTTAGTGTTAATAAGTCCTAAAAGCATATTTCAATCGAAGAATTTGTGCTAAATCCTATAGCTTCAGAATTTCAGAGCGTTGCTTAATTTTCTGGCCGTGAAGTTTAGTAAACAACGATTCGAGCATGGAGAATTTATTATGTGGGTTTCATTCCGCGTTCGTTTTTCGCTTCTAAAAAAAATCGAGCTCTTCTCTGAAAAAATTTTTGCTCTTGAAATTTTCCTTAGGTATTCCTGGCTTCAATTTTATTGGAACTGAACGCGTACATTTGTGATTTTCAACATTGTACCACAATATGAATTGAAGGAAAATTGTACACGCTACTTTACAAAAAAAAAAATATTCCTAAAACTGGTCGTTTTCCTGTACATGTGAATACTTTCGGGGCCAATGCACCTTTTTTCAGCATTTTCTTCGTCTTTTTGTGACTTGAAAACTAAAATATAAGCGCTTATCTTCTCACCTTTGTGCTTATGGTACTTCTGAAACCAGTTCCTGCTAAACCTGAATGCTTGACCGAAGGGTAAACCCAAATTCTAGAGAGATTAAAAAAAATTCAGAAAATGAGCTCGTTCACATTTCTTATATTTTGAGAAACAGTATCTCTAAAGAACAAATAAAGTTTGAGCAACACCCTAATAAGTCTCCCGCCGAAATCACACAAAAATCTACAAACTTACAGAATAATAAATTGAAAGATGTCAAACCCTCTTTAATATCTTTTGATATAAGGGTTTCTGGTATTTCTCCTTCCCATTATTTTTTCAGCGTCGCAGATACAATTTTTCGCCACAAAGCGCCAGCCACGCGGACAAAATTATAGCGAATTCGCCTGAACTTATCCTTACCCATCAAACTACGGGTTTGAAACCATTACACAGCTCGCAACACAACTCGCATTTTTCCGTGCACAATGAAATATCTTGATTTGCATACCTACGAATCGTTTATCCTTCCTAGCATTATTTTTTCGAACAGTATCGACACAGTACATAGCAATCGCTTCTTATACCTAGTCTTCGCCCATTTCTTTACAAATTCTTATTCTAGAATACAATCATACATTCAATAAAACATTTTTGAGTTCCTCCTCGGATTTCATGAGATTCAGCGTTTCATCCTGCGAGATGAGAATGAAAGAACAATTAATCAATCATCGTAGCTCTTTACAACACAATCTAGAATTCGAGAAAATGCAGAGCTTAGATGAACATTTTAGGACAAGAAAACAGTGGGACAAGAGTCTTCAGACAACGGAGCATTTCTACCAAAGTTCTTACAAAGGTTGATAAGCTTTATGATGTATTTTTGAACTCTCCTACATGTACATCTCTGAGGACAATTAATGCTTCTCTCTGTTCGTCTTTTATAATTAAATCGACTTTGTCTTTAGGTACTTCATCCTTTGCTTCGATCAATAGTTTTCAACGTTTGGATAATAGGAGACCACGTTTGCATTTTGATTGTCAACTAGACGCTATTGAAGCGTTAACTCCAGCTTGCTCGGGGATTTGGTGTGTAACAAGTCGGCGATTTTATACGCAAAGTCGTAATAACTAGTGTGCGTAGCTATCGCCGGTTTCGTTGAAGAGCACTTGAACAAGTTGCAAAGACGCAAGGGAAATGAGAACATAGCTCACAAGGTTACTGCGGGACAAAAATAAAAGTCAAATCAAAATGAAATCTGTAAAACATGAAAACATCGTAAATAAGTTGCCAAATATGTGTAAAATAATGCCAAAACAGACAAGCGAAATAATCTTGAAGAAAGATAGAATTCCTTAAAAAGGTCAAATCAAATGAAATCTTAAAACCTCAAAACATAGTAAACCAGTAGCCAAATATCTGTAACATATAGCCATAAGGCAGCCAAATGGGTACGCAAAAATCAACTCACGCGGCGCTACAAACATCCATCGTTGGGACTTTCATCATCTATTTTAAGACTTGGAAGCCTTTTTCTTTCACCGCAAGTCCTAATTATTGTAAAAACTGAACATCTGCTTTTATGTCAACTTCGCAATAGGAGTATAGAATTTGGCTAAAATCATCAACAGCTGAATACAAACATTTGTGGAGTTAAATTGACTATTTTCTCTCAGAAAGAAAAGGTAATAATAATCACTTTACTTTCCAAGTTAGACCGCTAAGGAAATAGGAAATTATTAACTGGCTTGCAATATTTTTAGCTGAATGGCATTTCCAATTGAGTGCATGACTTCTTAAGCACATTTCCTCTTCTTTTGTAAGGTCTACACGGGTTTATTTTGATCAAGGAAGGAGTTAAAAGGAGGAAAAAACAACCAGATAATTCTAGCCCACGGCGACCAACACCATTTTGAATTATATTGAAAACTCCATGTACTCGGGCTAAAATTTCTGCCTTTGTACTACCCCCAAAATATTTGAGTAGAAGCCAATGACATGATATTGGGGCCAGAGCCAAACCAGATGAACCTAACAGGGGAGGCTCGCGAATCCAATCCTCAGTTTCCCACTTCCTTTCCTGGGAAGACAATGCAGATTTGGCGACCGTAAGAGAAGACGGCTTGCATTTTTAGGCTAAAGCCAGTTCCTGCGGAAGCTCGAATGATGAGGGACTTGTCAGAAATTAGCAGGGGGGGAGGGGGGGGGGTGGGAATTTTAAATTTGGGTTCGGAAATTAGGTGACCCATCCCTGCAATGGGAGTGAAATTTGCTAACCCTCCCCTTGAGCTTGGCCTAAAATATCATGACCCTCCCCCTCTTGTATAAATGATAAAATCTAGTTCTTGCAATACACTAGGGTGCGTCAGTATTATGAAAACTCAAAATATATTTCTAATCTGTTCTTTGTCATGCTACATACATACATTTTCGATGACAGCATTAAGAGTCCGACTGATCACTCGACTCTCCTATTTCTCCCAATACAAAGTCTTCATCACTAGAACAAGTGGGTAATGCCTCATCCCCTTCATCTACCTCAAATTCATCATGATCATCCACCTCTTCCACTCTGAGGGAGCATTGTTTGTTTGTTTTTGTGCCAAATAAAGAACTTCCTTTTTCTTCTGTGGGTGAACCTCTACATGATCACGGGCATATATTTGCATGACCCTCCCCCTTTTAACTGCCCATTTTTCATGACCCCTCCCTTTTCTGAGGCTCAAAAAGTTGTGACCCCCCATCTGTTTCCACCCCCCCTCCGCCCCTGCTAATTTCTGACAAGTCCCTAACTCACTGGTCCGTGTCATGATGACACCTATAATTTTACAGCAATTAGAACGCTGCGTTCAAAGGAGTCCTCGCAAGGTCCTCGTTATCAAAGCCAGACCACTTGCAGACCTCTCGTCAGCTACTGTTGCTTACCCGCACGCAAAGAATCGCTCGTGCTGCAGCGCTAATAATTAAAGCTTCTTCCCAGGCTAAGGTCGTACAAATGACAACATGAAATCAAAGAATGTAGAAGTGACTAGACATTCCATTTGAAAGCACCTGTCATCTAGAGACGGTCGCTTTACCACCAGTTTGTTGATCATTGCATTCATTGCAGCTTGTTACAGTCTTTCAAACTTTTCTCGGAGGCGTGAACCTTTTTATGAGTATAACGACTGGATTCGGAGTGTGAATATTTACAGATCACTATTCATTTTTCAGTCATTAACTTTTAAAAGTAGATAAATTCTAACACTCTCATACCTCGAGACAATGCCTCTTGAAAAAATGTTTCAAGGAAGCAAGGTTTAACTCTTCAAGGGCAGCATAGACTGTGCGATAATCAGGATCATCTGAGAAAATTCAAATTGACACATCTAATTACAAATTCCTTTAATACGCAATATATTACTCCTTCTCTTCCTCTTCTTTTCTTACCCACTTTCTCTGAACTACGAAATGGCTGGATTTAAAGTGTAATATTTCTTTCGGGCCTTTTCGAATTTCGTTGATTGAGCTATGCAAGCTAAATAACAGGTTTTCAATTTAATAGCTTATAACATTTAAAACATATGCTGCCTTTTAAGTGTGGATGAATTAGGTTTGGTGCCAACTTAAATTTTTAGTGGTTAAGGGTTAATTATAAGCATGGGACCTCGACTTTTTCTTTTGTTTCATCAAAACTTAAGGTAATGATGCATATCCAAAAAAACCTTTCTGTAGGGTACCTTAAAAAAACCTATACTCCTTTAGTAATATGTCTGCATTTGACATCTAACGTCCTTTCTAACAACTATCCTCTTGTACCTTCATTTTAGAAGTATATTTTGTCAGTTTGGTTTTAAGGGAGATACGCATTCATCTTTGGTCAAGTAGACTTTTTTGTTGTTGTTGCATGGGAGCCTTTGCAACTCAAGCCTGTGAAAACATTTCAATTCGGAAATATTCTTGTGACTTTTCCTATATGGTACCTCAGAAAGATTCATCACAGATTTAATACCATATCAAAAATATGATTAAAAGTTGCATCTATGCAATTAAAATGTGTCGGAATCTGGTTTTAAATGTATTTTTGGTTAAAGAAAGGTTTTCGCTTTGCAGACCGAAAATAACTTCAAACGCATAGTAACAACCGGCTAGAAAAAATTTAGCATTCTATACTTGCCGTGTATGACTCAATAAAAGCATGATAGCCACTTAGCTTACCTGAATCTGGATCCACCGGCTCCTGCAAATTAATCAAACCTCTAAATTATCGCGAACATGAATTTTCATCATGAATTCACTCCCTTCTCACATGACTTCAAGTTACATTCAAGTGCTTATCTTTGCCTAAGAGTGTGTCCACGAGAGCACCGGGCAGTCGTGCTACATGCCATTTCACCGATTTCAATGAAACTTTGCCAGTTTAAAGGGTCTGCCCCAAGACTCAAAAAGACAAACTGGTTTCTGTTTGGTGTTTTCCGAGGGGAGATAGACCACCCCCCCCCCCGCTTTTTCTTGGTATTCACCGAGGAAATCGCTTCAAAATAGGTAAAATGTATGAAGCTCTTACTGCGATGGTATTTAACCAATTACTCTGAGGGTTTGCACACATATTTTTACATCCTTAGTTAATGTCCGCCGCAAGTATCAGTCAATTTGATTCTTTGCTTTCTGAGAAAAAGGAGCTGTTTTTTGTGTTTTCCAAAGAGCCTGAATCTCACACCAAGTTGTGCACGATATTTGAGATATATCGTGAAATCGCGGCCTTCGTTATCTCCATATAAGCCAATAAGCGCTTGAATAAGCTTCTTCTCGGACAAAACGCAAGTTTGGGATACATCGACATCTCTCAAATGTTTTTTTTAAGCTTTATACCAACGAATTTAGAGGTATGAGCTGTTGCCGTCCCTGGCCAGCGCGAGAAAAATAACATTTGGTTCTACAGTTAGTTGCAAATGAACAAGACAACTGCACCATCTTGACTCTATCAATGCGAGTGTTAGGTTGAATTGAGGGCTTTTTAGACACTCGATTTCTTACATGGCATCACTATGAAGACGTAATACAACTGATACACCTACACTACATGGGATTAACAATGTCTGTTGCGCTGTTGCGGGAAGGAGGAAAATATTACCGGAAGTGTAATCTCTTTAAGAGTTTCAGAGACGTTTCAGAGATGCCTATCTTCGGCTGTCACAAAAAATTGACCCCCACCTAAATTTACTAAGAAAAATGAACATACCAACTCCTTGTTAAAAAAATTGGAATTCATTTGATCGATATGCCGGTTGTTTCAATTTTGCTTTTTCCTCGGGCTGCTATAAAACAGTTCATAATTTGACCAATGAATAAAATGTTTTGAAATACCGTTCGGAATTTGCCTTTTTTTTCTGCGTGCAAATCAAGGGTCGACAAAGTTTTTAAAACATTTGATGGGGTTGATTTCATGGGGTTCACAATTTTCGTCGGCCGGAGTCAAGAAGCGTCAAGCTAAGCGACATCGCCCTTCAGTAAAATAATTTTCCAAAGAATAAATGCGGCGAGTGTGAGGAAAAGCACTTTTTTTTCATTACTGTGACCAAAGCCCGATGATGTACCTAAATTGGTACTTACTGTGACTTATTATGACAAGGTGAGCTTAATTTTTCTGTCGAGGTCGACGTGATTTCACATTAAAGCGTTTTTGACGGGTGTCCC